ACACAAGCAATTTGCGAAGATATCAATACTGACAATGATACTAATGAAATAGGAAAATGGAATACAGAAATTGCAAATTGTACAGGTAAAAGTCTTGTTTACTTGGCCAATCTTCCAATTTTACTTACATCACTTCATAATTGTATGCCTGCGAAGTGTACAACAATTTTTATTGTGTTTTTTCATTATTGTGTAACAGTCTATTTTAATAGAATGTACTAAAGAAGTAATTTATTTGGCGATTAGCATAGAAAATGAATGATAAACTGGCTTTCATAAGGGATACATTGGAAATATTTGTACCAGAATATATATATATAAAGTTTTCTTTTAACACTCGTATGTTAATTTCATAAAAAAAGATTTGTGTGGAAAGTAGATCCATGATTTTGTTAATTGCCGTTAAATATTTGTAAAATATTTGTCAGTACATTGAATTAAATAATCTGATAAAGTCATTCAGGGATTGTTGTAATTTTTTGTTTTATATCTAATCGATCTTGGTAATCACTCAACATAATAAACTTCAGCTATCAGTTGTCCTGATTATCTCAATATTACAAATTCACAAACATCAACTTGTAACCAGAACAATTTCGGTGGTGAATGCGATATTACTTGTCTTGATGGATATTATATTGATGGAAATAAACAAGCAATTTGCAATGATACAAATACTGATGATGATACAAATGGTGCTGGTGAATGGGATGTAGGTAGTGCGAATTGTAAAGGTAAATTCATATGGAAAAGCAATGATAAATTTCACTAATCGGACACAATGACACAACTTGTTTTCAGAAATCGACAATTTTTCTGTAAATAGTGGCATGTTGCGATGTCATATTACCCCCCAACCGGAATGGCTATTCTAATATATATTATAAGAATTATTTGTCGATGGCTGATCTTCATTTATTTTGATATGAGAGCTAAGTTTGAATGTATACTTGCGTTAAAATAGGTTGAAGAAACCTGTGAAGGCTATTTTGATATTGGTTCTCTAGTCATAAAATTCTTACAAACTGTTAACTGTAGCGATGTGCATTATGTTGTTATTCGGATTCGCTTCCAGCCTTTTTGTCGACTTCAAGTTTAGGTTGTGATTGCGATACTAACAAAATAATATACCAAAATAATAACGAAAAAGATGTATCAGTATATATGTCTAATTTTTTCAAGTTGCTTATAAAGATGTGCATATTATATGTAGCAATGAATATCGTAACCTTTTATGTATGTATCTGTCCCCTTTTTATGTGATTTAATGTTTGTCTCGATGGACATTAGAAATAAAAGATGATCCCACGTGTCTAAGTATATTAAAAGTTACTTTCTTTGCATATTTGGATAAAGATAACAAAGTGATAATTTATAATTTTTCAAATATTTGTATTTACCATATTACTATATACCATAGCTATCACGTGTCCTGTTTTATACACAATAATTTCAAATTCGCAACAATCAAACTGCACCAGCAATAATTTCAATGATAAATGCGATATTACTTGCTTGGATGGATATTATAACGATGGAGATAAACAAGCAACATGCACAGATTTGAATAAAAATAATGATACAAATAGAGATGGTAATTGGAATAAAGGAAGCGCAAATTGTACAGGTGAAGTGATGCTGTGGTGAGGCAAACAAAAATTTCCCAAATCGGACACAATTACACGAATTGTCTTCACAAATCAAAGAATTTTCTTGTTTAATAGCGTGTTGCGATGTAATATTACCCCCAGCCGGAATGGCTATTTTCATATATATTGTAAGAATTATTTGTTGATGGCTGATCATCATTTATTTTGATATGAGAGCTAAGTTTGAATGTATACTTGTGTTAAAAATGTTAAAGAAACTTGTGAAGGCTATTTTGATATTGGTTCTCTATTCATGAAATTCTTACAAACTGTTATCTATATAGCGATGTGCATGAAATTGGTCTTTCGGATTCGTTTTTAGCCTTTTTGTCTACCTCAAGTTTTGGTTGTGATTGCGAAACTCACAAAATAATATACCAAAATATTTATGAAAAAGATGTATCAGTATATTATATGTCTAGTTTTTTTTCAAGTTGTTTCGAAGGAATGCATATTATATGTAGAAGTGAATATCGTTATTTTTGGTGTATGTATGCGTCCCCTTTTTTAGATGATTCAATATTTGTCTCGATGGATTTTTGGTAATAAAAGATGATCGCACGTATCTAAGTATATTAAAAGTTACTTTCTTTGCATATTTGAATAAAGATAACAAAGTGATGATTTATAATTTATCAAATATTTGTAATTAACGTTTCACTATATACCATAGCTATCACGTGTCCTGTTCCCTTCACAATGATTTCAAATTCGCAACAATCAAACTGCACCAGCATCAGTTTCAATGATAAATGCGATATTACTTGCTTGGATGGATATTATAATGATGGAGATAAACAAGCAACATGCACAGATTCAAATGAAAATAATGATACCAATAGAGATGGTGATTGGGATGAAGGAAGCGCAAATTGTACAGGTAAAGTGATGTTGTGGAGAGGTGAACAAAAATTTCACAAATCGGACACAATTACACGAATTGTCTTCACAAATTAAAAATTGTTTTTGTTTAATAGTGTGTTGTGATGTTATATCCCCCTGATCGGAATGAATATTTTCATGTATATTGTAAGAATTATTTGTTGATGGCCGATCGCCATTTATTTTAATATTAAAGCTGTGTTTGAATGTATACTTGTGTTAAAAATTATTAAAAAAAACTTGTAAACGCTTTTTTGAGATTGGTTCTCTATTCATAAAATTCATACAAACTGTTATCTGTAGCGATGTGCATGAACTTGTCTTTCGGATTCGCTTCCAGCCTTTTTGTCGACTTCAAGTTTTGGTTGTGATTGCGATACTCACAAAATAATATACCAAAATAATTACGAAAAAGATGTATCAGTATATATGTCTAATTTTTTCGAGTTGCTTATAAAGATGTGCATATAATATGTAGCAATGAATATCGTAATCTTTTATGTATGTATGCGTCCCCTCTTTTAGAGGATTTAATGTTTGTCTCGATGGATATTAGTAATAAAAGATGATCCCACGTGTCTAAGTATATTGAAAGTTACTTTCTTCGCATATTTGGATAAAAATAACAAAGTAATGATAAATAATTTTTCAAATATTTGTATTCACAATATTACTATATACCATAGCTATCACGTGTCCTGTTTCGTTCACAATAATTTCAAATTCGCAACAATCAAACTGCACCAGCATCAGTTTCAATGATAAATGCGATATTACTTGCTTGGATGGATATTATAATGATGGAGATAAACAAGCAAAATGCACAGATTCAAATGAAAATAATGATACCAATAGAGATGGTGATTGGGATGAAGGAAGCGCAAATTGTACAGGTAAAGTGATGTTGTGGAGAGGTGAACAAAAATTTCACAAATCGGACACAATTACACGAATTGTCTTCACAAATTATTTATTTTTATGTTTAATAGTGTGTTGTGATGTTATATTACCCCCGATCGGAATGACTATTTTCATATATATATTGTAAGAATTATTTGTTGATGACCGATCATCATTTAGTTTAATATTAAAGCTGTGTTTGAATGTATACTTGTGTTAAATAATGTTAAAAAAACTTGTAAACGCTTTTTTGATATTGGTTCTCTATTCATAAAATTCATACAAACTGTTATCTGTAACGATGTGCATGAACTTGTTTTTCGGATTCGCTCCCAGCCTTTTTGTCGACTTCAGGTTTTGGTTGTGATTGCGATACACACAAAATAATACACCAAAATATTTACGAAAAATATGTATCAGTATATATGTCTAATTTTTTCAAGTTGCTTATAAAGATGTGCATATTATATGTAGCAATGAATATCGTAACCTTTTATGTATGTATGCGTCCACTCTTTTAGAGGATTTAATGTTTGTCTCGATGGTTATTATAGTAATAAAAGATGATCCCACGTGTCTAAATATATTGAAAGTTACTTTCTTCGCATATTTGGATAAAGATAACAAAGTAATGCTTTATAATTTTTCAAATATTTGTATTTACAATTTTACTATATACCATAGCTATCACGTGTCCTGTTTCGTTCACAATAATTTCAAATTCGCAACAATCAAACTGCACCAGCATCAGTTTCAAAGATAAATGCGATATTACTTGCTTGGATGGATATTATAACAATGGAGATAAACAAGCAACATGCATAGACACAAATAAAAATAATGATACAAATAAATATGGTGATTGGGATAAAGGAAGCGCAAATTGTACAGGTAAAGTGATGTTGTGTAGAGAAAAACGAAAATTTCACAAATCGGACACAATTACACGAATTGTCTCCACAAATCGAAACATTTTCTGTTAAATAGGGGCAAGTTGCAATGTTATATTACCCCCAGCAGGAATGACTATTTTCATATATATTGTAAGAATTATTTGTTGATGGCTTATCATCATTTATTTTGATATTAGAGTTAAGATTGATTGTATACTTGTGTCAAAAATGTTGAAAAAACTTGTAAAGGCTATTTTGATATTGTTTCTCTATTCATAAAATTCTTACAAACTGTTATCTATAGCGATGTGCATTAAATTGTCCTTTCGGATTCGCTTGCAGCCATTTTGCCTACTTCAAGTTTTGGTTGTGATTGCGATACTCACAAAATAATATACCAAAATATTTACGAAAAATATGTATCACTATATATGTCTATTTTTTTCAAATTGCTTACAAAGGTGTACATATTATATGTAGCAGTGAATATCGTTATATTTTATTTATATGTATACATTCCCTCTTTAGATTATTTAATGTTTGTCTCGATGATATTTATAATAAAAAAAGACCCTGCGTGTTTTAGTATATTAAATATTAATTTTTCTGATTATTTGAATAAAGATAACAAAGTAATGATTTATATTTTAGTAATTAACCTTTTACTATATTATAGCTATCACGTGTCATGATTCATTCACAATAATTCCAAATTCGCAACAATCAAACTGCGCCAGCAATAGTTTCAATGATAAATGCGATATTACTTGCTGGGAAGGATATTATAACGATGGGGACAAACAAGCAACTTGCGTAGATATAAATGATGATAATGATACAAACAGTGATGGCGAATGGTATGAAGGAAGTGCAAATTGTAAAGGTAATGTAGAATCGCGAATCGTGTGATTACCCTGCTGTCGCTAAAATCAATTGAATCCAATATATTGATGTTTTACCAGGTTCCATTACATTTGAACCCACGTACATTTGAACCCATGACAATTGCACCTGTATGCTATTGCACCTATGGAATTTTTTCTGGTCCACGGATAGTTAAACCCATACTAACCCTAACCCATGGGTTTTAGCCCCCGCATATAGATTGAACCCGTGGATATACGCATGGGTTCAAATGTACATGGGTTCAAATGTACGGTCACCGTTTTACCAAATAGTAATAGGTAATAGGACTGTAGTAAAAGTTGAATTTATACAAACTAGACATTGGTTTAAACATGAGTTTTCATGCCAAGCTAACTTGCATTGTATTGGCTTTTAGCATATATGGTGTTGTCAACTAATCAAACTACATATGTTGGCATCAAGAACCAAAACATTACAATGTATGTGCAAGTGAAGTCTCAGACAGATGATGTCAGCATAGCAGTCATTCTAGTATCATCGCCTCGAGGCGTTACCGAGTCATTGGATCAGCTTGAATCAAAAGAAGGAATCACCACTTATGGGCTTACAATCGAAAATCTCACCACTGCTGACGCTGGGGAATGGACAATCCGATCTCAGTCTTCTTCCGATGATGAGGAATTGTATCCCAATATTAATCAAAACCTCACCCTTAACCTAAGAATGGAAGGTAATATGATTTATATAGCACCCTTTATTGCTCCCATTTGCAGGGATACCGTCTGCAAACTTTTGGTGTCAAAGTTTTATGTTTAATTACGTTATGTTACTGTGAAGATTTCTAATTGTTCAGGTTAGTATTACATTGGGATATTTGAAATTTAGCTAATTTTGTACTACTGACTTTATGTGCTGTTAGTTTTTGCTAGAAGGCGTTAAATTTTTATTTTTTCAGTTATTCCAGAAAATTTGGTCCTCACACCAACTTCACCATTCACATATATACTGAAATCGAGTAATAACACGGTGGTTTGTGACGCTTTTGGAGTTCCCGAACCTGATTTCGAGTGGACAGATACAGAAGGAAGTTCTTTAACTCATGGGATAACATCTGTCAATGAAACTTTATTTCTGAAAAACTCGTATTTTTCCGACAATGGCACCTACCGATGTAAAGCTACTAATGACGCATCAGAGCGTAGTGGTGATACTCCAACTAAAGATATCGAAATAAGAATTGAAGGTGTGTAAACTGTTCCCAACTGAAGTAGTAGAGCGTTTTAAATCAATGATACACCATACAGACTAGTTATTCCTTCTGTACAAACAGCAAAATCATTTATAAATTATCGATCTTCCAACGTTGAAAGTTTTTGACAATTTTTTGAAATAGCTTCACCACAGTTCAACTCGTGGAATCTTGCTGAGTCTCTTGACGTTTGTTTATTTTTTGCTTCAACTTTCATACTGCAACTAAAAAACGACCGTCAAATTATCAGTATCATTAAATTTTAAATTATCCGCATTGCATAGTCCTCGTCGGTGTATTTTCAATTAATAAAACAGTACTCCTTTAAATTAAGTGACAACGCACCGCAGGCATCAATGGTTCTCAAACTTCTTATCGTTGCCCCACATATGTCTACAAAAATCATTTACAACTGTTATTAGCAGTAATAACATTATTAATGGTGGCAACATCTATTTGATTCGAGGTTTAAATTTATTTAGATTTATTCGTCGCTGTGTTTGGCTAATTATGGGAATATTCTTCTTCAAGTTTGTCTGTCCTACAATATGGTAGATTAATCAGAGATATTCTCTATCAAAGCAATAATATCGGAAAAGAAATAGATCTTGTAAATGCAATATCGATGTCTGATGAATGTTTTCTTCATTTTCAGTTGCGAGTGGCTATATCTTGCCATTTTTCCATAAGATAGTTTGAAGTTTTTCCTTCGAATTAACCCTCTGAATAGTTTTGGTTATTTAATGTAAAATAAATGAATAGCACAATAGCATTAATTTTAGCATCAAGTTCAAAATTGAACGTATCTAAAATCAACTTGAGTGGTCATATTGATTTATACGCGCGTTCGCGCCTATTTGGTTTTGTCAATATTTACGAAAGCGAAGCGTAATTTTCTTTCGCAGAACATATCATCCATATAGAATCACAAACGAATGTTTTTTTTTAATTCACGAATTAACTTTTGCGCGACACAATGTAGGATAGCTGCAGGTTTGGCCAAAAACGAAATTTTACCCTTCAATATTTTGAATCAGGACATTCATTTCAATTCAAATATCGGTAAATACTTTTTTAATTTTGGGTGTATTTTGATTATCGCATGTCACCAAAAGAGCTCGTATGCGTTAAAGTATAATGTTCAATTACAACACTTATTGCTGTAATTTTTTTTTCAGGATCTCCTATAATAACCGGTGAAAATCAAAACTTTGATCCTATTGATAATATCACATTAACATGTTACATGGATGCAAATCCGATTCCAAGTGATATATACTGGACGACGAATAGCAGCAAGGATTATGCTGCTGGTGTATTCTCTACTGCATCGGAAACTGTGAACGATAATAGCGGAAAATATTACAAATACGAAACAAGTTTAGCATTAACTTCTCAGCTATGCATGGGGCAACAGCAAGTTGCATGTCAAGCAAATAACACAATTGGTGGAAGTGATGGAACACAGATTTTTACCATAAACATAGGTTTGTGAGAAATGTAAAATGAGTTTTCAAATGTCGAGATAGTTTACAAAATACTTCTGCAAGAAATGATGCTAAAATTAAAATTATATTACATCAATATTTATTAAATAATGATTCTACGTTTACAGGAAATTACGATTTGCACGGAGAATATTACTATATATTTTTCGATGATCCTCTGGCATATGACAAATCAGAAAAAAAATGCCAATCTTTGGATGGGCATCTAGTTTACGTCACCACTGAGGATATTCAGGAATATTTAAACACTAAGGCAGATTACGGTAATATGAAATATATGCAATCAGCATTCCAATCATAACATGATCACCAATATTTCTCACCTTTTGCACTTGACCAATCTTTTCTTTTTGAAAATTTCAATTTAATGCAGTTGTAAAACCTTGTTGGTATTGCAACTGAGGTAAATTTAGAGTTGGGATCAATACATTACATATACAATACATTATATATTGGACTTTTCTGCTCAGCAAATATATCGATTAAAAAGTCTGAAATTTTGTAACTGGAAGTTTAAAATATTGAATTTTGCAGCTGTCCAATAACGGATGACCTTGTTTTCATATCTATCAATTTGAAAATAACAATATTAGTAAATATCCACTGTTTTTTTAATGAAGACTACTACATTGGTCTTATGGAAGACGGTGGCGAGTGGAGATGGGGATCTGACGGCCCATACTTGAATGAAACCTACAGCAATTTCACCGATGGGGATGATCCATCTGAAGGTGACTGTGTTATTTCGACTACGGACGGATGGAATACAACCGCATGCAACAAAGATTACAAATACATATGCCAGCTAAAAGGTACGGTTTGCCAACGACTCTTTCTCAAACAATTAGGTAGATTACCATTTTCAACTCCATTTTAGCTTCAGGAATTCCGAAAGAAGTTGCAGTATCAAGGAACGATTGTGACGGAAAGTACTTAGATGTTAACTGGCAACCATATGACGATGACTTCGCAACAACTCTTCATCGGATCGAAATCACTAATGTTAATGGCACATCGATCGATCCCATAATCTTCAACTGCATTAGTCCGTGTGATTACAATTACAAGAATTCAAGTTTAACTCCAGATACGCAATATTTAATTGAGGTATATACTACGTAAAGGCAGTTTTATTTTATCATAGGGTATAACTACTGAATCTTTCCTTGCTCAATAACTTTGTTAAATGTTATTTCCAAAGAATCATCTTATGATAATTGATATTGGAGAAACAAATTCGTCCATAGAAGTCGAAGTTTCCCTTTTGGGTAAAGTATAAAATTAAATTGAACAAAATGATTTTGAAAACAAAAATGATTAATTATAATAAAATTTTCCATTTAATAATATATGCATAGGGGGATATATGGATATATGCTGTAATTTATCATATTTTGACACATCTGGATTCATTGTATGAATTTTTTTCAATGATTGTACGAGCGATATTGTGCCATTTGCTGTTTATCATACTGAGCTTTATATTCGTTTCCAGATATATGCAGGTGTTGATAGATGTAAAATGTTTCTACCGTCTGCATCTGTTTTACAAACAACAGGCAAAGGAACACCGAAACAAGTTTCTGACGCCAGCATGGCACAAAATTCACAAGAAAATGTTTGCACTATTACATGGTCGTATAACGAAACTTTGGCATGGCAGATTGACAATTATACCGTGAGTTATAAAATCCACAAATTGGAAGCATCATTTTTCTATGGGGTTTTGGTTTTGGCTATACCTGCTTGCATCGTGGTTCACTTCTTATTTGCAATAAACCCTCCGAAACGTCACAAATATCTATGACTTGCCCATACACGCCGTGTCGTTTATGAAGATAAAAAAGAATATATTCCCTATAAAACGACGATAAATGCAATTTTATTTGTGTAAAAATTCAAGCTTTGCAACACTTGAATAACTAAATCAAGGTTCAATGCGAAACTTATTTATCTCAATAAATGTCCCGATAAAAAATACGCGTAAACACACAATGTTGTAGAATGTTCTTGCTTATAGCGTCTGCGAGGTAGACCTCCGTCACAGCAGGGCTACATCATCGGTAATAATTGATCTTATGGTTTACTGAGTTATCACCAGTTGATAACTTGTACGACTTTGATAATGAGCCTATTACCGTTGCTGCAAGGAAGGGGCATGAAACGAAATTTAGTTAATTGTGTGACACTGTATAGTTATATACACAATTAAATTAGGTCCACGTGTTCAATTGGTACCGGCAGTCCTGATACCGGGTAGCAAATAGATCATAATCTTATCGAATTGCCATCGGTCCACCAGTATTATAATACTTTAATATGTATTGAATCAGAATTTCGTGAGTTTTATTTCGTCAAAGAAAACATTATCTTTTTTCGTTGTTAGGCACAGAAAAGGATCAGTTAAGCATGAGGGTCCGTCAAAACTAAATTCACAAACAGGGGTCCGCGGCCGGAGAAGTTTGGGCAACTTGGGTCTATATTATACCATCATGTCTCCATCCCCTATTTCCCAGATGCACTGATTTCTACATCCAGTTCCCTTCACTATTTATATTAATGAATTGTTACTTGAAACAATTACACTCAAGATGACATGAACTACTTTTACGCACTTTGATACATTACTCTTTATTTGTAGGTAACCATTAATACGCAACTCAATGTTGATACCGGGGAGAACGTTGAAATCACCCCGATGGTCAAAACCACAGAAGCCACGAACTTTGTTTTTGAAATGGAACCAAACTCTAAGTACACTTCAAACATATTTGCCGTATCGTGTGCTGGAAAAGGGGAAGCATTTGAAGCAGATCTGGATTGTACTACTCCTGTTTCTGGTATTCTGACATTTTGCATTCTAATCTGTTTTTATATTGTGAAAGCGTAGTTTTTGCAACATCAAATTGAGATCAATCAGCACTATTTTTGATTAGCCAAGTGGAAATTTTTAGTATAAATATAAATATTTAATATACAATCTCAAACTCATGTTTTATATAAGCTCCTGAAACCGTACCTAAAGCAACATCACCGCAAAAACCAGATTCTGAGTTTGACCCAGCAAGTGGAATTGAAGTTACTGTCGCCGCAGTTGATCAAAGATATGGTCCAGTAAGGTAAAATATATGATGGATGATACACATACATGATATGTTAGCAAAAAATAACTTTTAATAGAGCTGCGTGCAGCTTTAACAGGCTTCCCGCGTAAAAAAAACTGGAGACGCGTTTTGCTCACTGGAGCGTGAGAGCGTGGTCAGTCATGCATAAAATTTGCAATTTATGATGGGGGACTTATTATCTGCATGTGATTTAAATTTCAAGTCTCTAAGTAGTGTCGTTCTCGAGAAGAAGAATAAAATGTAAAATCCTATATTGCTCACTGGAGCGTATCGCCGAGGTCACTCATGCGTATCCTTGACATATCGTATCCGAAACATGTCCATTAATCATTGTTATGAATTTCAACCCAATAGCATGTATCAATTTAGAGAAATCGCAAAAAAAACTGAAGACGCGTTTTGCTCACTGGAGCGTGAAAGCGTGGTCAGTCATGCATAAAATTTGCATTTTATTGCTAGCTGAGAACTTCTGCACATTTGAGGTGAATTTCAAGTTTGTAGGACCAATTTGAAAAAAAATAATAAAAATAAATAATAACTAGAGCTGCGTGCAGCTTTAACAGGCTTCCCGCGTAAAAAAAAATGAAGACGCGTTTTGCTCACTGGAGCGTGAAAGCGTGGTCAGTCATGTATAAAATTTGCAATTTATGATGGGGGACTTATTATCTGCATGTGATGTAAATTTCAAGTCTCTAAGTAGTGTCGTTCTCGAGAAGAAGATGAAAATGTAAAATCCTATATTCATCTGGAGCGTATCGCCGAGGTCACTCATGCGTATCATTGACATATCGTATCCGGAACATGTCCATTAATCATTGTTATGAATTTCAACCCAATACCATGTATCAATTTTGAGAAATCGCAAAAAAACTGAAGACGCGTTTTGCTCACTGGAGCGTGAAAGCGTGGTCAGTCATGCATAAAATTTGCATTTTATTGCTAGCTGAGAACTTCTGCACATTTGAGGTGAATTTCAAGTTTGTAGGACCAATTTGAAAAAAAAATAATAAAAATAAATAAATAATAATAATAATAAAACACAGGAATACAATAGGTTCCCTGCTGACAAGCAGCGGGAAGCCTAATAATAAATAAATAATAATAATAATAAATAAATAATAATAATGATAAAACACAGGAATACAATCGGTTCCCTGCTGACAAGCAGTGGGAAGCCTAATTGCTGACAAGCAGCGGGAAGCCTAATTGCTGACAAGCAGCGGGAAGCCTAATTATTTGCAATATACTGTCTCGCATGGATAATTAATTGTCGCATAGGTTTTCTTTAGTACGAACTACACTCACAAAGCTGGTTTGAATTAGAATAAATCGATTCAACGATTAACATAAAAGTAATGGTAGCGGGTTGAAATTGTTATCTCGCCTATTAACTATAACATCTTCTTCAATTAATGTTTTCAATATGCTACTTTCGGTTCATATACGGAATATGAATCATTGCTACCTACAAATTGATACATTGCTATAATATAGAACAACTTTAAATTACTCAAAACAACGAATTTAATTTCATTATCAGTTGGCATATGGTGATGATTAATATGTTAAAGACATCACGACCACAATGTAAAGTGTTTTTGACCAGAATCGAATCAAAATAGCTATTTTGTATGATGTTTGATATTTTAGCTGTGTTTTTGTCGTTGTGACGGTTGATGGTTCCAAACAAAACAGTGAAGACAAAAAAATCGATAGTAGTACAGCTTTCGAAGAAGCTAATGAGGGAAAAAATGGACAATATTTTGCCTACGTTACATCGAAGTAAGAAATAAATTGGAGCAGACATTATTTATGGTATTATATTTCGTGTTATCCGATATGCTGCATGTATAAAGGATAAATGAACTATAAAGTACAATACATCAAATTTTTCGTGACGTTGTAGAATACCAGTTTATACAATTGCATAAATTAATATGTATCTATAGTGTTTTATGGGTGATGTCTTAGGACGTTTTATATTTTATATCTCGATGTTAACTTATTGATAAAGTATTTTTGTGATACTCATTTCAAGTGCGTCCGAAACTTTCACCATCACTCTCGGCAAGGGGCGTGGTACTACCTCTTGCAATCCGATAAATAATGTTGCAAGAAAGAGAAGGGCGACTTATAAGGATGTGGCTGAGGTTGAAGCAACTAATAAAAATTTGGATTATAAAAAATATTATCGTTATTACGTGTTAACAACAACACCATCTTCCGAATCAGAGTTTCTGACACAAATAAGTGAATTGTCTCCGTCATATGTGACAAGTACGTGATTTTAATTTTTTTTTAATTGGTTTCGATGATTTTATTTATAGCTTTTATTGTGATTTTTTTTCTACTGAACTGTATAATATATATATATTGCAATTTTGTATATAGTTCAGTTTCAGTTGTATATCCATACAATTTTATTTTTCTATGAATCCTCCGTATCCTACTACATAGAATGAAGTTTTCAAGATTCGAGAATTGTGTTAAAAAAAACATTTATTTGTAGTTAATATATATATATATATATAACCATAATCTTTAAAATAACTATTCAATTCAAACACTATTCAATTCATAAAGTTACCTCGAATTTGAGTTTACCCGAGATCTTACAATAAAATAAATTTGAATGAAAAAGAAAGTCTTCAACCGATTCTGATTTGAATTTCACAATCTTATATTTTAACAGAACACTTACAATCATATTAAAAAGTTGAGCCTGGACCAAATAATCGTACGTGGTTTTAGTAATTCCAATCAAATTACTTTCAATTTCAGAGCCCTACCTTCTTTGGATTATTGGAGTGGTGATACCTATTCTCGTGATCATTGCTGCTGTTTTGGGTTTCTTGTATTACAGGTATGTCCCAATGTTTGTTCCTATTCCAATATTAGGTGAATCGAAACTTAAGCAACTATCCACACATTGCAAGTTAAGAGAACCACGAACAAGTATATCGGATAGCTGTGGGTGTTCATCTTATTTATGCATTAACAAGCTCTGCGTGGTTCATAATGTCAAGAACGAAGTAGTGACAAAATCTGCCAAAAAATGTAACTATATTGTTATAAATAAAAGATATCTAATTGTCAAGCAATGAAAATGGAATGCAAATGTGTACGTTTTATTGTATGACTTGAAATATACACATATATATATATCTGTTATCGATAATACAACATGAATACATACAAATATATTTACAGTATATATTCATATTCTTAGCATATATGCACACTCTCGGAATTAATCCAATTGAGAGCAGCTATTTTCTTTGTTTATATTGGAATTTATGTAGATTGTAGGTATATTCAAAAAATATCATGACACGATCAAAACTGTGTCATCCATATTTGAATGGATGAGTATCATTGCTTGTATTAGTGTAACATTGTTCATTATACAATTAATCAGCACTGAATCCGTACATGCCATCATGGATAAGTTTGACTAACCTAAAAGATTATAAATATTTTTCAGGCGTCGTAAACAAAATGAGAAAAAGAATTCTGAATTTGGTGTGCCGTTATCTGAACGTGAGTTTAATATTTGTTTTCACAATGTTCATCACGGTATATTTGCATTCTGGATCAATTTTAACGATCATAAAATATAACTCTGTCTCTGCAGCAATGATGCATACTCGCCTGCTAAACTATTAAAAAAAATTGTAAAAATTGTCATCAATTTTTCAAATCAAATTTTTTCATCATCATGATTTTAATAAACTGTTTGTGCAGTATTTTTTTTTAGTAACAAATATTGATCTTGCAACACCTATTTAAAGTTTTTATACAGATGTTAGATTAAAATTGGTAAACCTGTGAACCTATTCAGTTTCCCCCAGAGATGAGGATTATCCTGTTTACGAAAACGTAGAAGCACAAATAGACGTCCAACCTCATCCAATCAAAGCAAGCGATCTTGAAAATGACTATCATTATAAGCATGCAGATGACAATAGACTTTTCCGAGAAGAATACAAGGTTTGAAATCTTTCTATAGTATTTTGTTCGTGATATAATTTTCTATGGGTTTTGTTTTGATAATTATCGTCTTTCAGTGGAACATATATTATGCTCATGTTATCAAAGATATCAACCACATATGTGTGGTGTTATCTACGCTCTACATATATACTAACTAAATTAAACCTTTGACCTACCTAAGCCTTTATTAAAAAAAAAAACGTTTGAATTATCCGCAGTTGACAGACGATACATTTGTCATACATACTTTACTGGCGCACATTGACAAGTTTAGCGGCTCATATAGTAACTAGTATATATTACAGTGATAAGTCGAAGTTTTTTCAATTTGTAACAAGTTAATTTAGAAATCATGATCCCAACAGCTTCTAATATTGGACCACTCATACAATTACTAAGGAAAAATTACTTTGATAATGAATATTTTTTCCCTTATGTTAATTCCTCCTAGACTATAAAAGAACAGGCAAAAAAATTGGAAATGAGATTTGCTCATGCAAAAAGAAAAGAAAAAAAGAATCAATCGATATGTTAATGTGTTGCCAGGTAAATCTTTTTTTGAGCGTTTTTAATGATTTATCGTCATATTATAACCACCAATTCCATGCTTTCATGAATTTACATAATATGTACTGTGCTTTATCATTTTATTCAGCCGAAAACGCGGTAGTCCATCTCAAACAAACTGGAAACGGACCAACTTCAGAGTACATAAATGCATCATACATCGACGTAAGTTAGGAGGACTGTAATAAATAGGTTCTTTTTCGGAATAACTTTTGTCATCGATAAGTAACATGGACGTATAAGTAACAACTACAGACAGTGTAGGAACCCGATATAAATAAAATGACAATAGAAACTATGTATGAGGACATTGCTTTTCTTGATCATTAATTACTCATTATGTTTCATTGTTGAAAATAAATATACTTTTCTCTCTTTATCATCAATCCCTTAAATTAACATTTTAGTTTCAGAATTTGCTCACTGACAATTTCAGGCTTTGAAAAGACAGATATAACTTGATAAAGGGTAGAAAGTTAATTTACGCTAATGCGCAGAAGATATCTGATGTCATACGCTAAATATAATACCATGTAATAAAAAATTAGTTGTGTACAATTAATGTTATCTCCATATTCATTTCAGGGATATAAAAAACTTAAAAAATTCATCGCCACTCAAGGACCTAAACCAAACACCATTAACGATTTCTGGCGCATGATATGGGAACATAGAATCGAGGCAATTGTAATGGTAACTAATGTGGACGAAAATGGAAGGGTAAGGCCATCGAAATTCATACGATTTGCATATGCAGCCACTTTCTGTGATGAAATTATAATTTTTTGTAGTTGTAATTGCTGGTAAATGTAGTATAAATGTTATTGCATATCGTATATCATCACTGTTCCATCATAGTTTTTGACTTTTATATCTGTGGAAGTATCATATCGCTCTACCCAGAATTTGGCTAGGGATTCGGGTGGTTGTAGAATATACTTGCACAATCAACAAGTAATTATTGCGTAGCGAATAGTTTAGATATATAGGAACTTTTTTACATTACACTCATAAACTACGCAATAGCTTTGCGTGACTAGCGGAACTCTTATAACTGCTTTGTACAACGAGGTATGTTTACATAGTGAACAAACAACATAAAAGTGGGATTGGTGAAACGGTACGAAACTCTGTAGGTGAAAGTAGCTATAATATCACAACTACTAAGATAAATTTAATTCTGTCAAATACGACTCTTCCGTGATCTTTATACGTCGCAATGTTCTCTCACCGATGGGCCATAACATCCTATCACGATGTTAAAAACTATTTGCGGAACATCGTCATTCGATCGGTAAACATATTGTTACATTTCTTTTCTATTTGTATAGGCGGCTATATATACCAGGAGAGCGTTAATACGACAAATTGAATGGGATCATTGTCCCATTACATTTTAATGAATCAGTAGCCTAGCAACCTTTGAAATTCGACGGGTTCGGCTATTACCCATGTAGTCATATATTTCCATATTATTATTAGCTACTACGCAAATATTCAAAACACAGTCCTATACGTATAATAACGAAAGATTTTTAATTGAGCAACGAAACTAAATTTCGAGGTCTTCTTATCACTATGCAATATGTACATAGCTTCATCGAGCGCATGCATTATAAATTGGCAAAAAAGTTATATGAACATAAGATTCTATATATATTTCCTGCGCTTCAATGGATTTGTACTGACTGATCAAATTTGAAATCGAAGTAGTGCGGGCTGTCACCTAATCAGCAATCTACCATAAACTTCATATAATGATTTGTCTTGCAGAGAAAATGTGAAAAGTACTGGCCTGAAGAAATGGAAAAAGGCTCTTACGGAGAGTTCGACATTGCATGTACTGGCGACACATCTGTAGGACAAATAACTAGAAGAAAATTCAAGATTATCAGTAGTTCACACCCTAATCGAGTTAGTAATTGAAGCTCTTTATTTATTTATTTTTATAAATGGTCTTATTCTGCTAATCAGCGACATCTTGTGTACAGACGCAGGTAGTGGTACAATACCATTATACAACCTGGCCTGATCACGGAGTACCGCAAACTACATCGGCTTTATTCAATCTAAGAAGAATCGTTCGAACTGAATTTGGTGAATCCAATTATCCTATAGTGGTGCACTGCAGGTATGATGAGCGATATGCAAAGTTAGAATATCCTTACTTTTTGTACGCGGGATTTTTGGTCTGACTATAGAAAAATTAAAAAGTGGCATTCGCCAAACTCTATTGATCTCAATTTGAATATTGTCAAATTATATTAAACAAAAAAACAACGACTGAATTGTGTCCAAAATATATGTGCATTTAATAACATAAGAACTAATATGAATGTGAATGAATTGATTGGCATCACATTCACGAGTCTTCCTAACAACCCCCAAGGTTCATCAACCTTCTGTGGATGAAATATAACAAGCCATGTCATGCATTACGTAAATTGTTGATGTCATATGAAGTGCGCTCATACTTGAAAATTGATTTTTTTACACTCTTTACGTTATCATTTAATTAGAGAATTATCAAAACGCATTCTACCGCAAAGTTTATTTTTTCAACATAGCGCTGGAGTTGGAAGAACAGGTACGTTCATCGCTCTCGATAACTTGATGGAAGAACTCGAAAGTACCGGTACTGTTGATGTATATTCACAAGTTTGGAGAATGAGACAACGAAGAACAGAAATGGTTCAAACTGCTGTAAGATATTGCTCTTTTTATTAACGTAATCCAAAGCATATAGTGCAATAACCTATTCGGCTATTCTTATATTTTTACTTTCCCCGCAGGATCAGTATGTCCTCGTTCATAAAATGTTGTTGGAAAACTATCTACTGAAAGACACCGATATGGATGTGTCGCAAGCTGAAGAAAAATTAACTATAATCAGGTATTCTCGTTTAATTTAAAAGCTGGAAAATATATCAAAAAAATTACATTTCAGTAAAGATCTAAAAGATCTGAACAATAATTGGTAGTTAACTTAAAATAGTTGTTTGGCTTTTTTAGTTGACTGTGGCCGTTTTAGATGCTTACGCCCGCACATAGTCAATACCAAACCAAAGCGTAAAATATAAGACTGTTTCGCTAAGCATGGTACGGCGTTATCGAAATTACAAATTAAAGTCGAACATTGATGATAATTAGATGAAACGTTATATCATTGGCCCATATTCGATTGCTTTTTAAAACTACGTCGTCAATTTCATCGTAATCTATTGTTTGCTGAAATCGTTCACTAAGGTAGAAAGATAAACACATTTAGTTTCATTTCAACTGTGTATTCGGAATTTGTGCGTCGGAACAGAGACCCATTCCCCTTCAAAATCAATAGGTTATTTTATGTGGACCATGGTAAAAAGTCTGAAGTGGACAGAAAAATATTACAAGTTCTGCTCAAATATTTACAGAAATGAATAATGTTGCCCAAAAGCAAACATACCAATGATTAGGTAATGTTCATGCGTACAGCGAAGTGAAAGAAAATATTATGGAAATCGAAATGTAAATGTAGCTAATTCAATGTCAAAATCTATTTTGATTACGGTTTCGTGCAAACTCATATATAACTATTTCCTATATAGTTTCTACCATATGTCCTCTTCATCAGGGAATTAGAACTCATCAAAAGGACAAAATTGATATTTCGAGGTTTATCGCGTTCGTTGGTTCGAATTGTACTCCTGTGCGACACCACATGGTGACAAATGTCTCCCAGAATATGATGATCAAAATAGCTACCGTGTCTTAGCATAAACAATAGGAAGAAAAAATGAATTTTTTTTTTCCCGATTTTTCTAGTTTGTTCAGCATGATTTCCCAATAAAATTTTTCGAAAAAATTACTGAGTTAATATTCATATTTTCGAAAAATGTAATGGAATTGTGTACTTTCAGATCGCCACAGAATAATGTACTTGAAAATGAATTCCGCCTGATATCCAGAGTGCCTCCTCTTGATACGGATAAAGATGTCGGCCATGGTCACTCAAAAGTGAATCGAGAAAACAATGTGATTCCCTGTGAGATTATGATTTGTAATAATTAGGTTTTTAGTCAGATCTTATGTAACTAAGTACATTATATGAGATTGTAAGTTAAAATTTAGGCGAGTAAGTGCAATACCACATTTAAATTAGGGAGTTTGTGATGTAATTTTACTTTTTTTTCAGATTTTCGTGACAGATCTCGTAATATTAAAAAAATTAGCTGTTCATAAAAATTGAATTGTGTTGCCAGATAAAAAGATGTTTCTGTAATGACTGATAATTTCGTTCTATATGTTATTATAGATGATCACAACATTGCACCGATACGAATGCGACCTGATGAAAATTCCACTCCATATTTCAATGCAACCAAGTTGCAGGTCTGATTGAAAATATTTTAAATTGAAAGCTAATGTACCAATATGTTGTATGAATATTATGTTCACAACCATGTATATATATGTACGCAAAAATTATCTTGGGTGTTTGTTACTCTATTGATCCAGCCCCACTTGGGTTGTCGCACGTCCTTAACGTGTGGATATGACGCATTTACTTTACTTATTCGAAAAACATTCTAATAAATTCAAATTAAGTTAGAAATAAATCATATTTTCAAATAAAACATTTGAAAATTTTCATTTTCTCATCAAAATCTTCAAAGACTCTTAATTATCATGTAGGGGCTTCGAAAGAGTATAACAGCAAACTCTTATACAATCAACCCAACGTTTAAATTTTGTGGTACCAATATATCTGAGGAATATTACATTTTTCTAGACATGGTTGACTATAAGATTAGATACTATTTGGTTCAGGCGCAAAGAAATTCCACGACAAAATCTTTTTATATCACATTATCCGAGGAAGCAGGATGCCAATTTTCGTATTGCTAAATGCAAAATACATGCGAAATGCAAAATACTGATTTAAACAAAATTTCACCCTAACTTTGTTGATCATATTATGGTATCAGACAATTGTAAACGTGTTTCAAATTCAGGGTTACGAACAAGATGAATGGTATATATTGGCACAAGATCCTCTACCCGGTAGAGAAGAAATTTTTTGGAGAATGGTACTTGATAATGATGTTAAATGCATTGTGATGATACGTCATGGTGACAGATCTCAGGTGACAAATCATTTTATCTTTTGATATAAATTTCCTGTAACGAGTATGTATGATATATATAATTTATATTTTAATTAGGCATATATTCATTTGGATCCAATAAACTGCTGACATTTACCTTAGTTAATCGTATTACTTGTGATTCAATGGAACGGTGGCGTGTCATGCTGGGTGCCTGCAATAGATCATGTTTCTTCTTAAGATTTGACCGTGTTATCAACTTTCTTTTCCTCGTGTTAAATGCAAAAAAATAATTTCCTCTCTTTACAAGAAATGGTAAACGAGCTCAATTGGTTGGTGATCAATAAAATTGAAAGTTGACTTTCATGGGTTATAATCAATGATGCGCATTTTGAACGGTTATATCGAATATATTTTAAGCTTTCCACTTCCACATTCAATACTTTACCAAATATGGGTTGGTTTGTTAACTTGATTTTTCAAATTCGCCATGGACTAATGAAGGTAGGAATCTATAAGCCGCTATGCATAGTTTAAAGAATCTTTAGAGGTACGAATGTATATCTTAAACCTGTAAATACATTTTTAAAGAAACCATGTGCTAAGTATTGGCCCGAAATTGTCGAACATCATGGAAGCATTATGTTGTCACCACAAGAAACATTTGAAGAAAAGAATTTGCTAACCAGAACCATATTTGTCAGGGAAACTATTCTTCAGGTAAAATACAACTATACTATGAATGATGCATCGAAATTATTGGTTTGCTACCTATCATATTATCAACCTGTGCAACGAGATGTCGCAAGGCACGATGTCGATTTCTTACGATGCGTGAAAGGGTCGTAATAAAATATCGTATGCGTAATAAAATCATTGTGGGTGTTTCACTTAGTCACATCTCGGTGACGATTATCTGTCTCAGACACATCTACGTATTCAAAGAAATTGATCCGCCTAACTGCTACAATATCTCACCTCATGACAAGGGTGAGTTAAATAGTAGAGATCTTGAATTTGCAAAACTATCTCGATGCGCTTCCTTTTATTCTAGGATTATTGTTATATTATATCACAGTAATTTTCAACCTTTTTTGAATCGCGTAAAACTTTGTCACTATAAAATCTACCGGAACACCAAATATAAATTGCAGATTTTTCAAAAAACACGTGCACATTAATTTTGATATCTAAATTGGTATAATACCATATGCCGATTGGAAGTAATTGAAACACCAATTTGACGCGTTGAAATTCACTGCCATGTTTCATTTACTCTCACAAAATACATTTACCTTTGCATGGCGTCAATTTCCAGGTTTACTTGGTTAGAGATTTTGCTTTTGGTTAGACTTTATTATACAGTTCGCATTTTACAATAACTCATCATTTTTACATAGACAACGCGTTCATCCTCGATCACCCAGTTCGACTTTACCGGTTGGCCGCAAGGACCATCACAAGATGTCAATACTATTCTGGATTTAATAACGCGATTACAGAGGCAAAAGCAGCATATGGATGGTAGTTCAGGGCCGGTCTTGGTTCACTGCAGGTGAGCGATGTTATTCAAAACAACAACGTTATTGAGCCACACTATTTGAACAAAACTAAAATGACGAAAATATAGATTACTGTATTTTGGGGTACTCGCTATACTTTCGAAGCAATCGCGAAAAATTTATCGCTGGAATCAGTGCAATTGCGGTGCGAACCTCAGAGTTGGGGTGGGCATCATCATGTTCGTGATGTATTTATATATAATATTCTAACAACATTTCATGTTGGGACTTGTTTATTCATATTGAATTTGTCCACTACAACAATAGCAATATTTTAGTAGCAATTTTAGCAATTTTGAATAATACTGTCGGTCACTATGGACACCGAATATAATATATCGTTATTAACGTGTGTGCTTTAATAACGAATTTGTTCATAGTGATGGATCCCAACGTACAGGCACATTCTGCGCAATAATCTCGTTGTTGCAACGACTGAAGACGGAAAGTAGAGTAGATGTCTTGCGCTCAGTAAAAGATTTAAGAGACATGAGGGCCTATTTGGTTGGAGATTTGGTATGTTATTTTTGAATTTATCGTTTTGGTATATATAATGCGTGTAATAAAGCGCCTCTCTTGTTTGGCACCACTTTGAAATATTTGCAGCTATCGATGTATTCTTGTACCTATCACTTTCAAATTTATTTCAGATTTTAAAAAGTAGTCGTAGTCCTTGTAGCTAAATTTCGCTTTTTTTGTTTGCTGTAGGACGAGAATTTTTTTTTTTTTATCACGACAAGCTTTCTGTGAATAGATATAAACTAAACAAAAGTGTACAAGTGTACTGTTTTCTATATAACTATATAGTCTTTTTTCTCCCTATAATTTACGGTGTCAACGAATCAAACGAACGATTTTTTTTTCTAGACCGAATATCGTCTTTGTTACGACGCAGTTGAAGCATACCTACGATCATTTGATCTATATTCCAACTTCCGTTGATTCTGAAACCATGTTCATCTTTGTCATCATTTCATCAATGCATTTAACATACTTTTTGTTTTCCTTATGCTGCATTTTGTTTTATATATTTTGATCATCATTTAGCTTTCTGGAAACAGTCAATTCGTAAGTTTAATTATTTTAATTTTGGCACAAAAATCCAATTACGTATGATTTTGAAAAAAAAAAATTAATGCCGATCTACTGTTGCAAGCCATAGTAGTTTGTATTTCATATCCTTGTCATCTCTAACTGTCTATGGTTAATTTGAATATGCTTGTATTTATGTGATTAGTTGAATAAACAATACACCAAACAAAGGTATCAAATAATATCATGCTTTGTCTTGTCATATGTATTTCAGCTTTGCAAGTGTTTTTTTCTTTTCCCCTCACGTTTTCTCTGATTCATTTGCTTGCTCCTGGCACTGATATGATCCATTAAATGAGAATAAAACAGCTGATTCGACAATGTAATAAGAAATGAATGTTATAGCGGATATAAAAACGATAAAAATTTAACAAGTTTTGTTGAGCGCCACACATTCTTCGTCGAATTTACATATCCACATCGTTTGCATAGGTTTCTCTTTCTGACAAATGGCGTCTCCGGACATCATCTCTTTTGCTGATCTGGCTCATCTACAATAAAAAATCTTCGAGCAACAAAAAAAATATAATATTACTTGATCATCATTTTACTGAGTGCGAATTATAACAAAATATCTCCATTAACGTGGATAAGCAAATGGATGTATGGTGATAACATATAGCTAACCTACATGTTCTGTAATATATGCTTAGTCAGCTGCAATTATCCCAAATGTTTTCAAGTCAATTTTCGTACATTTTTGTTGTGTGCCTCATTATATTTTACTTATCTAATTCTTTTTTATTGTGTAGAAAATTTACATATTTGTGCAATTTTTCATGCAATTTTGTGAATCTTCAATATGCTTAAAAAAACTTAATTATTTAGCTGTATTGTCAATTATTTTAAAATTGTGTCGAGTATTTATTTTGAAGCACATTTCGTAGTGATATATAAAATTTGCTCGGTCGGCTAAGTTGATGCATTTATGAGATATCAAAAAATGCTAAAAATGAGCTCGGTTAGTCTCAGGTATAAAAAGTCGAAAATTATATTATTGGCATGAAGTGCTAAATATTAGGTAATTAATTAACATCCCATCCGAGAATCTATCAATCATTTACGACACTTTAGAGATATATATGTCCTTGAAAATTGGGTGCGTATTACCCACTTCATATTGAGGCCTAGGCTTTTGAAATATGGGAACAATGTGTGCATCTCTCTCAAACATAATCAGGTTTTTATCCTATTATACTGTTGGTAATGACAATGTTTGAGTAAAACCCATGCGCACTCAATCTGAAAACTAAGAATTAATTCTTAAGCCTGTCAGCGTAGCGGACATGCGAATATTTTTGAGAAACTTGATTTGAATCCGAATTCTCACTGTGACAAACGACTTCAAATTAGTGACAGCATTGAATAAAGAGATATATCTTAAATACGACTTTACGGGGGCTTTGAAAATGATTTTGCAGACGGAACTATCACTAACAATCGGTAGTGATTAATGTCCAGTTTCCAAAGAGAACTGTCGTCATTGGACGTAACATCACCATGCCTTCTCACGAAAAGCAATAGTTTGGGAAGCATTACTTTCCAATGCACTTTTGTTGCACGATAACATTTGCGTTCGTTCGTAATGACCTTCTAAAAAGTTACAAAACGTTCAAAATAATCAAAATCTCGAAATATTTCATCGTCTTACTGATACGGGCGCCATGAGCCTTCAGGGTGAGGAAGTAACTTCGCTCAGGGACGTCAGAGTTTGAAAGAATAAACCAATATCTGAAATACAAGCACTGTTAAGGTTGTTGCTCGCAGTGTAACTACTCTATTTTACACTGAAGCAACGTTTTCTTCATCCCGAATCGAATTTCCACTGATATTATAAAATATTTCCATCAGGAGAGATTGAACATGTACATATTTATAGTTGCCACCACGTGGTTTATCGGAGTCTCATAATGCGAATTGGGATGTTAGCACAATGGGAATGGGCTGGGAAATTGGAACAGCTTTGGAAATTAACCCAGCAAAATTATGCCTATCATGATTTTTGGTGCAATAGATATAGGGTAACTGAAGAGTCCTTTTAGGCGCCACTTAAATAGTTGCAGAAAAATCCTGTCAGGTATAAAAATGATTACGTTGCTCGTGTATGTCCTTTCATTTTTCATACTTAGTGCGGGGTTAGCCTAAGTAAGGATTAGGCTGATCCGTTTCGTGTTGTTGAATCTTTACCTACCTAGTCGCTAGTCATGTGTATCAAATTAAAAACGATCAGAAGAATTATCTTTGCATACGATTTGATGCCTTTTCCTGAAGACCCTGATTCATTTGGTAATCCTGAAAAAAAAACGGCACTAATGATGCCAAAAAAAATTATAGGGTATGAACACTTATAGTGACGTTGTACAAGATATGGTTAGGCAACTGACAGTTAATGGCAACCTTCACTCTGTAAATGTTTGACGTATTCTTGAAGACAATCATGAAAACTTGACACCAGGAGCGTTTCCTAGACTTTGAAGGTTCCTAAAAGATCAAAGTAAATCTAAATTGAGCGCGATCACATCGGGGTCACCAAAATATCTAGTTTATTAGATAGGATTGACTGACAAAGATTTTGTTTTAAACTAGTGAATCGACCCTGCATCAACAATCACAGTCCGTAGGTCCGTAGGTTCCCCCCAACGTTAATGAGTAGACGTTGAAAAATCTCTATTTGATTTTTATCTTAGTTTGACACAATATACAGAATACAGTCCTAAAACCTTCTAATTTGAGAAGATATCAAGTATTCTATATATTATAAATAAGGGTATTAGATATATAGGTGCTATAGCATATGGAAACACAAAATACAACATAAATATGGACCGTGACACAGCTTCTTCCCCATTTAGAATGAAACTCCACAAGTTTTATTCTCAGACATGTTCAAGGTCTCAACGTAGATTACGAGGCAGTCAAACCTTGTCAGTTAATTCTACCAAATCACGAGATGGGGAATCCCATGGGGTGGGACAGGCATAAATTACGATGGAATAGAAATCTATGTCCCATGGACAAACCTGGTAAATACAAAGCAGTTGAAGTAGTTCGTGTCAATGCGATCAGAAAAACAGCTATGAGGTAGCGTATTCCACACAATTGAAGAAAAGTCATGGGAAAATCTTTGGTCATAGAATTTTTTTCGTCTGGTATAGGTAAATGACTCTAAACGAGGGAGTGTTCACAGCAAACCAAGTTTGACGGCTGGAAACTGATTTTGGGGGGACAAGTTTCGACTGCTCAAAGAAACAGTGCATGATAAAATTGGCAAGTGATATTCTGGTCCCAAAGCAATAAATCAGTACTGAATGTAATTCCTTATGTTAATGTTGACACTTTTGTCGAACTCTTTTTCTGTTTGAATGAGGGTGTTTCATGGTATATAAACATTTGTTTATATATATATATATATACTATTGAAAAAATGTTTCATTAAATTTTTATCCCAGAGTTGTTGGACAGTGATTCAATTTGTGTGTAACTGATTATATATTAGGTGTTTTCGTTAAAAATTAGAACGTAATTTGAAAATATTATCTGAACAACCTTCTTGTGGTTGCTTTTTTTAAGTTCCGGTGGTAGAGTATCGGTTGTCTACTTAAAATCCTATATAGTTACCTGCGTCAAAGCCACCAAAAAATTTGTTGCCATCTGCATATTTATTGATTAACTACTCTTATAGAAATTAAAAGGATAAAAAAATAACTTTGTACAGTTAACGACGAAAGGCAGTTGTACTTGAAAATGGTTTCAATTATATTTATTCTTAGAGACAAGTACACCCATCGCATGAAATTTTATGGATTTAATGATTCAAAGAGCTGTTTTGTAAAATGTACACACAAAAACTATTCTACATCGGCTTCTGTCGGTAACATCGAATTTACGTTGCTTTCTGCAAAAACAATTGAACGAATATTAGTTAGAAATTGTTATTGCACGTGGAATTCATATATAGGAAATCAAGTGTAAAATCATAAAAATACTTTACAATACAGAACGAGCATCTCAATTATCATTTGAAAAATAATTTTTCATGGTTGCATAACATGGCTCTCCCCGTTTTTGGCGGGGTGCATGAGAGGTGGAAAAACGCTACCACTTATTGCGGAAGTCTAAACAGTCTCTATTCGGATCTTTTTATAGATATATTACGTTTTGTATATTTTATTAGTATATTGCTAATGTTTATCGTTACGTAAGCCTGCTGGTGTTCTCCAACAATTCTTCGCGTTTTTTTTCGATCCAATTCTTCCCCCTTTGCCAATCATCCGATAGCAAGTATCTTAGTTTGGCATAATGGCCAGTATAAGCTTGGCATAAATATTATGCTCCCGAGTTATTTCAAGCCATGCATTAAGTGAAAACGTTCTATGCATATATAATTCACATTCAGCAAACGTATTTCCCACATAATCCTTACAATCGTATATCATAGTCTTCATCATTGGGCTTCGCAGTGCTCATCGTCGAACGATGGCGCATACTATAAGTACTTTTCGGGGTTGTGCTACCGCTCCAGTCTTCTCCTATTCTGGATCCATAATTAACAGCTTCATCGACAGCGTTCACAGCTTCCATTGCCAGCATATGGGCAACGTCTGGTGACATGGATTTGTTTTGCTCGTATTTTTTACTGGAAGATCGACTGATAACTCCGTTGGATATTGGTTTTTCTCCATTGATAAGCATCTCAGGTGGAGGTGGAGGAAAGTGCTGTGGCCGCGGTGCGTTTCTAGATTTATTCCTGTACAAAAATAAATGAATTATAACAATGTAAATTATTTTTCGACAATCTTGAAAATTTACAAATAATCCAAAAAAGTAGAATATATTTTATCTATGTAGGATAAATTGATTTATGCTTAAAACGATATTAAAGCATTAAGTTCTATTTTTCAACTTATTTTTGAAAAGGACAACCATCATGAATAGTAATATTGCATAAGAACGCATTTTATCTCAAAGCAAATCAATAAGAAATATTTTAAATTAAGTGATTTTAACAGGAGCGATTGAGTAAAATGTCTATATATAAACTTACCCAGTATTTGGTTTTGTTGGGGGAGGAGGAGCTTTCCTTCTAGACTTTCTGGAGTAATCAACCTGAGAGTACGTTGGTTCTTGCTGCTGAGGTGGTACGTTAGTTTCATTGTTTTTTCCAGTGGTTACCTGTTCGCTTTCTCGGAGTATATCCTCTGTTTTGGGGGGACTCGTGGTAGGTGGGTGTGGGTCTGGCGCAGCATTTTCTCCTCGTGGTGTTTCCTCTGCTTTCGGGGCAGGATCTTCAAAGTTTATTTCGTGAATTTCTGGTCTTCTGTTTGCATCTTGATTATATAAGAAACTTTGAGGATTATGCAGCGTGTCGTAGTCAATAACTTTCGGAATAGATTCGTTGCTCTGAGGTGGAGATTGTTCAGGTTCTGACAAGTCTTCCGGAAACTCTTGAAATTCTGGAACTGTTGCTTCTGCAACGTACGCTTCGTGTGCAACATGGTGAAAATTCTCAACGTGGGCTGTTTGGGGTTCGTGGTATTCTGCAGTGTGAAGTGTCGCATACTGCGCTGAGTCGTTTTCAAATTGAGAAGCATTAACGTACCGTGTGTCTTGCATGTGCACATCTGGCTGAATTTGACTTCTAGTAGACTGTTGTCGTTGTACAATATTCTGTGGATGTGTTGGACTCCGAGAGGAATATTGCCGTCGCACGTGAGATGATCCTCGTCCATATTGTGACGTATAACCTGACAAAATAAATATTGCTAAACTAACTTTAAAATGTTAAATTAATCTACAAGCTGGTATTTATAAATACTGATATTTATTACAGCAAATTAATTTTCATGTATAATTTCTGATCTCAGCAGCAAGACTCATTTGGCTTTTTCAATATTAACGTTATGACATAAAAACTGCAATACCTGGATTAGAATATCCAGGCAGCGGATATGCTGATCGTTCGTCGTGTTCCTCAGCCCCAAATGTTGTGGTTTGAACCTGAAAAAAACAGAGGCTTGTTTGCAACAATTAATGAATACAATATTTGATTTCAATTGAGAATGTTATCTGGCGGTTTGTCATTCTGGATAAATAAATTTTCGTAAATAAAAATTGAGTTAAGAATTTTGAGTAAATGAGCTTTCCAGTAGCAAAAAACAAGTTTAAAAAATAGGTTGATGGATACGTTACTATGAATTAGGAAACACAAATTTTGTCGAAATCTAAATTTGAATTGGAATCGATCAGCCAATCTCATAATCATACAACAATGAGGTACAACTTAAACTCAACGATTCATTTGTTTAAACTGTGATGCAATACCGTTAGGTGATTACAAAAACACACATACTTCAGGATCCGAAGTAGTTCGACGTACTGTGCGATTGTTTGTACTTTGATCACCACCAATCGTATCCATATTGTACTCATGTCTTTGTTTCTTCCCGTTTCGCCATGGCAGTACAACGTTAAAGTACACGAAAGCAAAAGCTACAAAAAAGTTTTTCAGCAAAAATAGAACGCTTGAGTTTAAAACCAACTCCGACCCAAAGTATCCAAAAAGTGACACACGAAGTATAAAGAAAGGAATATCTTGTAGCAAAACTGTGAAAGACGGCCTGAAAAATATATCAAATAATGCTTAATAAAACCAATAATAAGTGAAATAAACAGTGGTTGGCTTACAAATCAGCTTATGCTGCCATAAAATTGTTATTTATCAAATTGTGAGCCTGGTCGAAAAGTGTGGCTGGTGTTCCCAACCTCTCATGATACATTTATCTGTTTGACCGCTATAAAGTCTTCGCTTATCTTATAACAACGTGTGCAAATATATTGGAGTCAATTTGTTTAATTTTTTATTTATAAATACGACTACAATTTTCTGAAAGACACAAAAGACATCTCCGACATCAAATTATGAGTTCTGCGTTTTAAAATGCTTTTTTAGTTCTCTCCTTCCCCAAAACAGCTGTTTTGTTGACCTCGTCATAAGTATATATAATATGCATTAATTGAACAAATATATTAAATAAAGGCTATAATTCAAAATATTTAAGTGCATTTCACCATTAAATAGTGAATATGCAGCAAAAATTACCTCATGTCCGAATTTGGCGTCAATACAAGTGGAAGAAGTCCTATAGTAGCAACTATGTAAATTGGATATACCCAGCCTGTCTCAAAAACATCATGGGATGTTTCAGATGAAAATTTTACCAGAGACATATCCAGCAACAGTCGCGCGTCATATGCAAGCATGAGGTCACGAAGGAGGTTCTCAGGTCTGAAATAAAAAAGGTTTTCGACGCTTGCCAGTCATTCACCCAATGTAATCCAAGTAAGTATTGTATTCGGGCTTACATTTGTATGTCCGAAACAATGTAATTACTTCCTTGAAATAACAAATGAACCTGGACATCGAATTATCTCAATCATTTATATAGCGTTAACTAACATTGACTATATAGAACTATGTATCAATCATAACCCCAAACTTATAACAACCACGATACATGAAAACTCAATCTTTACTTATCCATTAAACTAATATCGCTAATATTTACTACTGAGCAAATTTACCATACGTACCTTGCATCTATCCACTTGAAACTTTTTGCAAATCTGTTTCTATTTCTCACACTTGGATGCAACAGAGTACTGTGTGAAATAGAGCTGCGCCGACTGGATGCATATTGGTCTCCACTACCTATCCCTAGTGCATCTGTAATATTGAATAAAAAAGAGAACAATTACGGTCAAACGCACATGATTCTATGAATACATTCATATATACAGGTACTGAATTGTAATGTGTCGTAAATCATAAAGTTGTTTAGTAAATTAAATTATTTGTGTTTATCGCTCCACAAAACTCTCCAGAAAATCAGTGATCTGTATCCAGGTCTCGTTTTTGAGTCGTGGGGGATTCCAAAGAGAATACTTCAAATGCTGTATACGCGCGTAACTTAACTTATAATATATCGAATTGGAAATCAAGACAAACAAATTCTTCTTAACACGTTCAAATGTAATTTTAGTCGAGTCATCAGCATCGCATATATATATATATGTATGTATAATATCAATGTATTGCGTATAAATAACATTTACCATCGGATCTAGTTCCTGTTCGATTATTCCAAGCTGTTGCTGAAGTATATTTGCTTTTTCGCATTGTGTCATCAGAAGCTCTTAATCTAATGTAACGAAATTTTTCCGACCAATCTGAAATTTGTTGTGAGAGAATTTATTTCTCTGGTATTAATTAATGTACGTTCTATTTGGAATAAATCATTTAATTAATTTGTCAAACCTATATCATTATTTGTATATTTTGCTCTATTAAGAAATGTTTCCTTGGGCAGTGGAGCGTTTGCACTATACCAGTAATTTATTATTTTTAACGTATTCCAACCACATGGGATTGACTCATTCAAAGAGGTTTACAAGAATGTATGAGAATGTGTTTTGAATACACATATTTGAAGTTAATATATACAGCTCAAAGATGTAAAAGTTTCAACTCGCTTATATGCGCGAAATTTCCTAAATATGAGAGTTGGGCCTATTGGCATCACTATAAATAATGGAAATACATACTTATCTCAAATAAGTATTTTGAAATGTTTCGAATTCACTATGTCGTCAGGCTAATAACCGAATTGCGTAAGTCATTTTTGGTGATTTTGAGTGTTTTCATACAAATTAACTTAAATCCGGCTACGATCAAAAAATTGAATCATGGCAAATTATTAACTCTCAATGGCATAACAATATCATTAGAAAGTTGTTAACGTTTTTTTCAAAACTGCTAAAAATGACTTACGCAATTCGGTTATTAGCGTGACGATGTTTTCATAATGACAGGAGAGAGGTAGCATTGAGTTATATTCTTAAATATGGATCAAAGTTTATCTGGTATTTACCGTTTTATTGTATGCACACATTAATGCCGACCCACCCCGAGATATTCAGCCCAAATATTTACCTGTAACCACCATCATAATCACAAAAGTCTCGATGGGAGCTCCTCTGAAATAATCGAAACAATCTTCGCCAGCATTATTCCCACAATTCTCATGAGCAATCAGAACAAAAACTACACATGGTATTGCAGAAAATAGAATATATAAAAGGTTTCCCGGAAACCTGTATAACAAGATAGATTAGTAATAATTTATTTCAAAAACTGTTCAATTACTTATCTAATGAATTATTGCAAAACTGTGGCAATGAATATTCAGACTCCTACGATTCAGATTGTTCTATACATAACAACTACGTGGGGGGATCAAAGAGTAAGATACGTCATCTTATTGTTTGGAGGAAATTTTGAAAACTGTTAGAGTACATTTGATATTATTGGTGTATTCCAATCTTTTGATTGCCGTACAAAGAATTCGTTGGTATCGAAAATCTAAATATTGTATACAAAGCAGATTAGGGGCGTTTCCAAGTTCCCGATCTTTCCGGTGAATATTTTTCAAACTATAAGAATTTTAAGGTTCGATATTGATTTTCACTAAACGTCAACGTCTTATCTGAGCTAAACTATATTTTACATGGGGAAAGTTCGCAATGATCTTTTTCTTTCAGGCACGTAATAATTAAGTACGCTTGTAAAATACTTGAACATATATAAGTCGAACAGCATGAGCTAATGATACAATGGCTTTGTCAGTTAAGTTAGAATATGATATTGAATTGTATGGATAATCGTGAACGGCAATACTTGAACTTTACGCTCCTTTTATTAGATAATATTTTATTTCTCGAAATCCGAGAAGAATACTCACCATAAATCCTCATATGGCCGGAAGACTTTTTTCCAGACAATAAAAATTTTAACGGGAAGCCACAGAACAAGCGTTATTCCTGTGACATAAGCAATAATTCCAGCTATAAGTAACCAATATTCCGTGTTATCGCACCCAAGTTCTGGAGTACACTCTTTCGCAGCTAATCTTTGCCCATTAATAAAAATTGGCGTTGCAAATGCTGTCCATTGAAAAGCTTCCAAAAAAATCTTCTTCATCAATTTAAACCTCGACATTATTCCTTCTCTACAGACTACAGACGGAAAACGTAAATAAATGGATTTAGAAAATACTTCACTTCAGACTATACCTGGGAGGAGGTCCCTGTGAACTAACTTTGTGTAAATAAAACAGAGACGACAGTATCATTACTGATAACACCCGGACACAACGTACAAAATCTGAACAATATGACATAGTTACTCATTAAACGAAATAGTTCTCACCTGCAAGATGCAAAGCAAATAAAAGCGTACAAGCAACGCGTTGGTACAAAAAAGCAATACAAGTCTGAATTTAGTTTATGGTATGCGAACAATTCAATATGCTAGTCGGTATGCTCGAATGATGTCATTACATTACAGGCCTACGAAAAGTTCTCACGGAGTTCTAATGTAGTTCTAAGAGCTGCTGTGTTGCGGTATATATATATTATCAGCTGACAACTTCCTTGTGATCAATGATATTGTTGCAGCAATTTTACAATTCTATAAACAAATTTACGGTCTAATACGACATTACATCGTAAATAAAGAAATTTTCGCGTTTTAACTCAACGTTTCTGTCAGGACCCCAAACAATGCCGTATGATCAATAACAAAAAGATACAGTTTTTTCCGCCTGCATCTACAGTAAGAACTCTACCTACGAAAGGCTCTGTATACGAAAAGTCCAACTTACGAGAATTCTTTTCGTAATAATGTTGCTTCGACTAATGCAAGATTTTTTACATACGAAAGGCCGAAAACCGAAAACAAAAAATGCGTATAGTGACATTTGTTTATTTTGGGTTCATTTAATGCAGTGCTTGAAGCACAGATGTCCATTTCGAATTTATTATTCGAATATCGCGAACTTCGACTATCATTTTTCGTGTTTATCTATCTATCACGCGCCGTTGATGGCAATATCGTTCAGCTTAAGTTGACTGTATCAATTTATAATCAAAAATAAAATCATTACAGCCGACATGAAATATTTAAATCAGCGCTGACTAGTAAAATAAAAGAAGATTTCCGGTCTTAATTCTCCTTGGCAATCAGGTTACTCATTTGATAATGACGATCGCGTAATTACATTTGCGTTTTTCTAAATCAACGAATGGTGTCGTGAACTATATAAAAATTGAAGTCCGTGGTACCTGCCCTGCCACACGCCAATCAACTATCTGCCATCCCAATGGCCCGTTCGTTTCCCGCAGTGACTACAATAAGTTTCACTCAGTTTCAGTCGGGAGGACGATGTTACGCGTATGGTGGCCCATCGTTGTCACGTGTAAAATTAAAAAAAAAATGAAAAAATAAAATGAAAAAGCGAAAATAAAAAAATAGTTGTGAAAAAACATGAAAATAATTGGAAAAAAAAAAAAAAAATTTAAATTAAAAAAAAAATTGAAAAATAAAACAAAAAAAAAATTAAAAAAAAATTAAAATTAAAAAAAAAATAAAAAAAAAAAAAAAAATTTGAAAAAAAAATTGGATAAAAAGAAAATAAAAAGGTTGACAACGATGGTCCGCCTCGTGGCCCATCGTTGTCACGCGTTTTTATTTTTAGAAAATTTGATGCTGCTTGGGACCAACGTTGTCAGACTTAATCCTACACGCACAAATGTGTTTCCTGGGTTTCTAACTCACTACTGATTTTCATGACCAATATCCAATAAATTCAACATGAAAATGTTCTACAAATTCTCCATGCTACAAGTTCAACCACAAGCAATATATTTATAATAAGGATAAGAGAATATAGAATTGGATACGAAAATTTGTTTTTACGTGTAGAAGGTAATTTAATTGGAAAATGCTGCTTAACTGCTCAGACACTCGTGCGATGCCGGTACGGTATCGTCTGACCGTACCGGTACCCATGCAATCACTCGTGAAAGAATGGGAGATGATGAGTGATTGTATGGCTACCGGTACGGTCAGACGCAAAGCGACTATAACCGACTACCGGTATTTGGTAAGACGGTACGGTACCGGCATCGCGAGTGTCCAGACAACTGAGTAGTTAAGCAGCATTCTCCAATTAAATTACCTTATACACGTAAAAACAAATTTTCCGAATTTTCGTATTCAATTCTATATTCTCTTATCATTATTATAAATATATTACTTCTTGTTGAACTTGTAGCATGGAGAATTTATAGAACATTTTCATATTGAATATTGCTCAAGAAAATCAGTAGTGAGTTTGAAACCCAGGGAACACATTTGTGCGCGTAGGATTATGCCTGACAACGTTGGTCCCAAGCAGAAGCAAATTTTCTAAAAATAAAAACGCGTGACAACGATGGGCCACGAGGCGGACCATCGTTGTCAACCTTTTTATTTTCTTTTTATTCAATTTTTTTTTAATTTTTTTTTTTTTTTTTTTTTTTTTCGTTTTCATTTATTTATTTTTTTTTAATTTTAATTTTTTTTTTTCATTTTTTTTTTAATTATTTTTATGTTTTTTTACAAAAAAAATTTTATTATCGGTTTTTTATTTTATTTTTTATTTTTATTTTCAATTTTACGCGTGACAACGATGGGCCACCATATACGCGCGCGTAACAATTGGAATTGAAAAAAAAAAATTCTAATTCTAAATTCCATATGCGCGAGTGCTCATTACGTTCTATCTCAGATTGCAACGTTTAACGCCTCTTCTCACCACCTCCGACCGCCGTCCTCTCACTCTCCACGGCCTTTGCTTAACCCAGTCAAATATTATGTCCGAGTTTTGTGGTGGCTTGGAACGGATTGATGAATTTTCAGGTAGATAGCGTCCGTACTTACGGAATTTTCAACTTACGAAGGGGCTTGAAACAAATTAATTTCGTTCCAATTACGGAAACCCTTGGCAAACGGAAAATTAAGGTACACGTGGTAAGAAGGAAGAACAGAGCAATACCGAATAAAAATTACAAATGTTTCTTATCCAAAGACTTTCGTAGGTAGAGTTTCTAGGTGTGGCCCGCGGCTTCGCCCAGTTACTACCGCCTGTAAAAAGGTTTCACACCCCTGGTTTATAGCAATAAAAAGTGAAGAAGAACAAATTCAATAGCACTTAAATAACACTTAATGTAATATTCGGTTCAGACCGCATCTGCTTCTTTATTTTAGCAGCATCGTGATACATCGAATTTTGGCATCGTGTTTCATTTCATTCTTTCACAGGATTTTGATCCTACTGGCATTTTCACTGAACCACGGAAGAAATGTGACATTGTAGTAATCGATGTTTCTCCGACTTTCGTGCATAGGCCAATCAGCATAGAGCCAAAGGTGACGTGCATTCAACTGTTTGCGGAAAGAAGTGGACCCATGGATCGTTTTGTTATTGTGTTGTTGATCTTGTTAGTATTTTTCTTCTTCATGCTGTTATGAAAAAGCCGCTTTTCTATTCAACTAATGGATTAACGATTGTCGTTGTCGCTAGGATTGTCGTTGTCGCTACTTATATTTATTTCCAAACTGTATGTTTGGTACATGGCATTTGTTTTTCACTTCGCCATATTGTGCGGTGGCGTCAATGAAATTAAAAATTACTTGTAGCGGTTCCTCGGCCGCATGTCAGCGGATCTAGTGGTAAGCGAAAGCCAGAAATTTTTTAAGGGTTTCGGCAGGCTACGGTACCTGAACTGTTAAAGATTTGATTATACATTTACATGACTTGGATCATTTGGTATTTCGAATCACGTTGAAACCTGAAGCATGAATCATCTTCGAAGGACCTGGAAATCTGAGACAGTCCGGGTACCGTTGCTAGTACAGTAGTAGGCTCGAATTTCAGTGTAAGTCGGAACACTATATTGTACAGTACATAGGCGTAGCCTTGGGGGGGAGGGGGCAGAGGGGCCATGCCCGGCCATACGATAAGAACTGCGTCAGCGTATAATGAATATTTTGGTAATGAAACACTATAACGCGAGCAAAAAAACGTAGAATCCATACTACAAACTGGGTTGGAATCCCTGAATCGAAAGTACATACATTTTACTAGGACAAGGTTTGGGAAAATGAGAGAAATCTCAATAGATCCGAACGCGCTAAGAGACGTATTGGAAACAACTAACCCAAACGTGGTATTATGTGAGGGGCAAATACCAAGGAAACTGATCAAAATCAAGGAGATTAACAAGTTTACGAGGTAACCGAAAAGAAAATTAACCTTTTCTCTCCGCAATTGCCTTGGGGAATTTTAGGGTGGAACGCCCAAGAATTTGTATTCGTACATTGTACTCGTCTTTAGGTAACTTCTGGAACTCATCTATAGTAAATTTCGTACTAGCCTTCTTTACTGCTTTTTTCATTTTTGCCAAGTCGTTTTCGGCTTTCTTCGCCCCTTTCTTTGCTTTTTTAAGTTGTTTCCGCATGTGGAAGGTCATTTTGCATTTGAGCTAATAACCTTTGTTTTACTAATATATCTTGTCTACGTTTTTATTCTGTTGTATTGATATCTTTGTGTCGTTTTTGGGTGTGTTTTATAAGTTTCAATCTGTTTTAAAGCTTAGTTTGCTCTTTCGTTAACCACGTCTTCTTACGTTTTGACCAGTCAAACACCATTTTCTATAAATGTTTTAGAAAATATAATCGTACAAACATGCAATACTTATCCCTCATTCTGGAATCTTTCTTGCTAGGACTGGTATTCTGAACTGGTGTTGCCGTTTTTTTTGTGGTGCTGCGGTTCGGTAGCCTTGTCCCTAAGTTATTTACTTTTATGGTCTAAACCAGGGCTTCCCAAACTTTTGAGCTCGTGGCCCCTTTCAATATCTTAAAATTTTTCGCGGCCCCTGTTCAACGTTAATAATGCTAGACACTTCGAAACATACATTTTTGGTATTTTAATGACACCGTGAACTTTCATCTTTTAGTGGGCCCTCTCAATAACCAAAACTATCACACATTTATTCAGATGAACGTCACTCAATTATTTAGTGCGATGGGTGCTGTAGTGTTCATGGTCCGATGGTCATGAATTGCATGATTGATTTAGTCCTGCGCGATATAAATGCGCAAGGATACATGCCAAGGGGAGCAGAAGGACATTGACGGCGTGGCTGGTGCTGGTTCTATTGTATGGTGTTATTCGCTGTTTATTAAGTTGTATGAGTTACTTCTGTGCATACTGAATTGTAGCAGTAAAAGCCTCCTATTTTGTGTGCAAATATTGTGTGTTGCCTTGAGGAAAGCTTAGCAAGATAAAGAACATTGAAAATAGAGGCGAGACACTACAACTGGCGACGAGGATATTGAATTACAATTGGCGAAGACCTGCTGGACTTGGACGATAAAGGAAATCGTTGGTAACTTTTTTGATTGAAACAGATCTATTCTATATAGCAGGAATATAGCCATCCAAGATCGTGCCGAATACCATTGGAACGATGCAACCATTTGATTCCGATGGAGACCCGCACGGTATTTCCCAACGGTGGCAACGTTGGAGACGTTCTTTTAAATTATATTTGACGGCCAAGGGAACGACGGCAGATAGCTCCAAGAAAGCTTTGCTTTTGTTCACCGCTGGTGTAAAGGTACAAGATATTTTTTATACTTTAGCGGGACTCGATGAAGAGAAAACATTTACCGAAACTTTAAATTTACTTGATGAATATTTTACTTCGAAATCCAATATTCCTTTTGAAAGACATTTATTCAGGCAAATTAAACAGGCCAGTGATGAAACGGTCGATCAGTTTGTTTGTAGGTTACATCAAAGAGCAACAACATGTGGCTTCGATGAAAAAGAAGATGATCACATACGGGACCAAGTGATTGATAATTGTCGGTCCGATTGCATGCGACGAAAATTTCTCGAAAAGGAAAATCTCGAATTAAGTGATTTGCTAAAAATTGGAAGCAATGGAAATTGGGGCAATGGAAGCTGTTGATCATCAGGCGAAAGCAATTGAAGCTGACGCAGAGTCGCACCAGGTGAATTTAGTAAATAATCCAAGCCGTTATATATCTGTTACAGGGAAGGAAAGGGAATGTTACTCTTGTGGCCGAATCGGACATTTTTCCAGATATAAGATGTGCCCAGCAAGAGGTAAACGATGCTCAAAATGCGGAAGAATGGGACATTTCAAAGTTCGATGTGGTAAACTTCGAGGTAAACCTGCACGGCAACAAGGACATAATGAGCAATGCCGAAACCAACCGAGAATAAATAAAAACGGTAAGCGGTTGAATGATACGAATTGTGTTGATTGTTCGAATGACGAAAATAGTGAGTTTACATTCACCGTGAGAGATCACAATTCCTACCATGATGGAATAATTACTTTAAATGTGGGAGGAGTTAATTTGTCGAATGTAATAATTGATTCGGGTGCTTGCCGAAATTTCATGGGAAGCAATACTTGGGAATGGCTGAAGAGTGAGAGAATTGTGTGTAATTCAAGAAAATGCTCGATACCATCACTCTACGCTTATGGAAGTACTAAACCACTTCAGGTCTTAGGTACGTTTACTGCTAATGTTTTCGTTTTGAATAATGAAAGTAAATGTCGGACTGATTTTGTTGTTGTCAAAGGTAATTGTCAAACTTTGTTAGGAAAAGAAGCTGCAACAAAACTTAATGTATTAAGAGTGGGGCCCGTGAATGCAGTGAGTTCCAAAACTATTGATACTTCAAATTGTGATATATTTTCCAAGTATGGAAAATTGTTTGAAGGAATTGGCCTTTTAAAAGATTACAAATTGACTTTGAATATTGACAAAACTGTTAAACCAATTGCTCAACCTCTGCGCCGCATACCATATGCGTTGCGAGACAAAGTAGATGCAAAAATAGATGAAATGCTGAAAGCAGACATAATCGAAAAAGCGCCTGAAGGTCCAAGTACCTGGATTTCGCCTTTAACTGTAGATCATAAAAAGGATGGAGATATTAGAATTTGTGTTGACATGCGCCGAGCTAACCAAGCCATACTCCGTGAAAGGCAACCTATACCGACTGTTGAAGACTTACTCCACGACTTGAGCGGAAGCGCCGTATTTTCGAAGTTAGATCTGAAATGGGGGTTTCATCAAATATTGCTTGATGAGAAATGCCGATATATCACAACGTTCGTAATTAATAATGGAATTTTTAGATACAAAAGACTTATGTTTGGTTTATCATCTGCACCAGAAAAGTATCAGCAAATAATCAGAGACGTTGTGAAAAACTGTCGGGGTGTCGCAAACATAGCGGACGATATCATTATCCATGGGCGGAATGTGAAGGAACATGATGAAAGATTATTTGATGTTCTTGATAAGTTGGACAAAGCCGGTCTAACGCTGAATGGTATGAAATGTCAATTTCGACTTCCTGAGATCAAATTTTTTGGTCATAAGCTCACAAGTCAAGGAATTGATCCTTGTGAGGAAAAGGTGGCGGCAGTAAGAAATGCACGACGACCAAAAGATGCCAGAGAAGTAAAATCTTTTATGGGTCTTGTTCAATATTGTGCAAAGTTTATACCAAACCTTTCTTCGATTGCAGCGCCTTTACGTGCATTGACTAGGAAAAATTCTAAATTTGATTGGGATAAGCAGTGTGAAAATTCATTCGAAAGATTGAAACGTTCATTAACTAATGCAAACACATTAGCTTATTTCAGATCTGACTGCAGGACAAGAATAATTGCAGATGCTTCACCGACAGGACTAGGATCCGCTTTAACCCAATTGCAAGACGGAATTTGGAGAGTAATTTCGTATGCTTCGAGGACAATGTCAGACGTAGAAAGACGATGTAGCCAGACTGAAAAGGAAGCTTTGGCTATAGTGTGGGCATGTGAGAGATTTAACTTGTATATTTTTGGCAGGAAATTTGAACTTGAAACCGATCACAAACCTTTGGAATGCATATACTCTAAAACTTCAAAGCCCTCAGCAAGGATTGAACGATGGGTATTGCGATTGCAAGCGTATGACTTCAAGGTAATATACCGACCGGGTAAGAATAATATTGCTGATGTATTATCTCGTCTTAATGCGCCTGACCAGCGTGATACAGCAGCGGAATATGATTTCTTCATACAAATGGTTGTGCAAAGTAGTTGCCCGATTGCTTTGACGCCACATGAAATTGAGCAGGCATCTGCTAAAGACCCTGAATTGCAAATTGTGAGAGATTGCATTAAATCACAGAATTGGTCAAAGTGTGGTAATTCATTTTTGCATGTGAAGAATGAACTTTGTATTTATGGTCAATTAATTTTACGTGGTGCGAGAATTGTAATTCCACAGATACTCAGAAAACGTGTTCTAGAGCTTGCACATGAAGGACACCAAGGAATTGTGAAGACGAAAAATCGACTTCGAAGTAAAGTGTGGTGGCCAAACATTGATCGTGATGCTGAACGAAAATGTAAAGTATGTCATGGATGTCGGGTAACAAGTTCGTATAGTCCGCCTGAACCAATGACGCGAACACGACCACCCAGTGGACCTTGGATAGATTGTTGTGCCGATGTTTTAGGACCTTTGCCTTCTGGTGATAACATACTGGTAATTGTAGATTACTACAGTCGTTTTTATGAAATTGTAATTGTGCGGTCGACAACAAGTAAGAAAATAATTGAAGCGTTGAGCACCATATTTTCACGTTACGGAATTCCACTTACGTTAAGAACTGACAATGCACCACAGCTTGTATCTAATGAATTCAAATCATTTTTAGACGAACATGGAGTTCAACATAAATCTACTACTCCATTGTGGCCACAAGCGAACGGCGAGGTGGAGACAGCCCAAGTAGAAGGTAAAGATTGGAAATCTGAATTAAACAAATTTCTACTTGCATACAGGTCTACACCGCATACAGCGACAGGAGTATAGCCATATTATTTGATGTTTGGTCGAGAGATGAGAACAAAGCTTCCAGAAATCAGACCAAAATACAACATAATCGGCGAAGAACACAGAGACAGAGACTGGAGAAACAAGCTACAAGGAAAATTTTACTCAGATTACAACAGAAGATCAATTTTACAAGATGTTTGAGGTCCGAGATTCGGTGTCGTTAAGCAAGAGAAAGTTGACAAGATGTCGACAAACTTCAATAAATATCCGTGTGAAATCGTCAAGAAGGAAGGAGGGGAAGTCACAGTCAGAGATGAAAAGGGAATTCAATTCAACATTTGTAAAGAAATACGAAGAAGACACCCAGAATGAAATTGACAATAATGCCAAAGAGTCGCGAATTGCTCCAGACGCGACCAGGCCAAGTTCGGAGGAATCAATTACTCAGCCTTATGAGCGTCCAAGGCGAGAACGAAAACTGCCTTCCAGATTTAAAGACTTTGTAATGAAATAAGTCTAGTTTACCATCTACTCGTAACAAAAGAAGGTATGTAGTGTTCATGGTCCGATGGTCATGAATTGCATGATTGATTTAGTCCTGCGCGATATAAATGCGCAAGGATACATGCCAAGGGGAGCAGAAGGACATTGACGGCGTGGCTGGTGCTGGTTCTATTGTATGGTGTTATTCGCTGTTTATTAAGTTGTATGAGTTACTTTTGTGAATACTAGTAACTCATGAATTGTAGCAGTAAAAGCCTCCTTATTTTGTTGAGGAAAGCTTAGCAAGATAAAGAACATTGAAGATAGAGGCGAGACACTACAGGTGCCACTGCTGTACAGTCGTGTCCAGTCGTGGCTCGATGTTTGTTGATGCAGGCATCAAATATAATGAATCACGATGTCTGGCTACCGACGGCATGGTCCCAATCAAGCGTTGTTTCCTACTTTTAATGATCAAATTTGGCATAAGGCAGGGGTTCGTATGGCGCCAAATTATCAGGAAAAAACCCACGGCGCACCTACTCGAAAAAATGATACCTTCAACAATTTTGTGATCGATAATGTATACTTTATGCCTAAAGTTTATAAACATGTAAACCTGAAAAATAAAGGCAAAAGTAACTTCTCTTGCTTATCACTGCCTTGTTTTCCTTTAAAATGCTAAACAATATCACCATTTTAGCTAAACTCGGTTGGGCAAAGAAATAACTGCGGCCCATACGAAATTGCAGCAAGGGTTTACCCTACGTAACATAAAGGTTACAGAAATTACGTATCAGAAATTTATTGATTCATATAAACATCGTTTACAATAATATTAAAATAAAACATAAAGATTAAATAAACTATGTAAAATATTCAATCATATATTAGTTAATATTTAACACAAATCTCTCAAGGCGCACTTAACAATTCGCCTCAGGGGATCGCTGGCTTAACTATTATAGCCGGCATTGTTATACAAACGCGACCTAGCCTGAATTTTAAATACGATTTCAATATAAGCCCTCCCCTTAAAATATATAAGAGCTTGTTGATAACGCAAAAATTTTGTTTACGTAGTCCATAGCAAAATCTTTTCTACTCGTTTTAAATGGTTAATAATCTATGTTTAGCAGTTAATTCAATTAAAAACGTTTCATTTATAAGTGAATGGAAATCGGTTTTTATATTTTGAATTCTCTACTTTGTAAATTCGTTTTTTTAAAATCACCCATAAATAAGTCCTAGTGTCATTTTGTAAAAAACAAATTGAAGACAAGGTATTCTTTTCGAAAAAAAAAACACGGTATAATGATGTATGTATTCACTCGAAATCGTGAGATTAGAGATAGAAGTCTAAAAAAGTACAATAGATATAGAACTAGCCTAAACCTCAATACAACCAAATACTCCAATATTAGTCAGGTGAATACATCCTAGCCACAATATAACAAAACTAATATAAACATTCAAAATCTCAATAATCCATTTACCATCAATCAATATTCAATACAAGCGCCACCACTTATCACATAATATTAATCATTGGATATACATGGAAATATCATTGCACATGCGAAAGATATTCGGCATACTCATTAGAAACACCTAATACGGTGCGTTGGACTTGTGACAATGTAAACTGTCATGCTCACAAAACGATCCCAGTGGTGCCTCCAATTTTTTTATGTGTTTTTCTCTGCTTATTTATGTTTACCCATCTATAGAGTATGTATATAACTTACGGATGATTGCACTCGGGTTCTTTCCATTTTTTTAGGATGTCGGGGCAAATTTGTCTTTTGACACTTTCTATGAACCTCGGAAAATTAAATTACGGATTACTTACAATTCTTTTCATCAGGTAGCAAAAACAGCCTTTTGGCAAACCATAGTAGTATTTCAACTTTGATTCAACTTTATTTCAGACGTTGCGGAAATTTTGTGGTTTTATTATGAGATAACAATGTCTGCCTTCATGAGCCCATAGTAGCTTTAAATAAAAATAATATTTAAACTCAGCCCTTTTGCAAAAACAATATCGAATAATAAAAACACAAAACGGGTTTCAATAGTACAATAAAATCAAACATTTATCAAAATTGGTGTCATGGATTCTTATTTTTACTGATGGGTATGTTACATCTTTAATAATACGTAGCAAATACAAAGTATTGCAACGGTCTTTTCGCAAAAACAGCAGAATTTATCCACTGCATAATACGTGAGCTCGTTTACTCAGTGCAGGTCATTTTTATAAGACAGTAGTTTCAAAACCAGATTCGTGCTACAGGGATTTTGCTATTTCCTTCTTTCGATTATTCGTTTTAGAGTGGAATTTTACATATCATTTTACAAACTACCAGCATACGCTACTAACGTTAATTTGCCCAGGCATATAAAGTAAGTTTCTTATCATGGGCTCACATATAGAAAAAGTATTCCTTAACATTAATTCCAACAAGTATTTCTAACTTTGTTATACACAAATACAGCGACAAAGATTAAGTAGCAATAAACAAACAATCCAAATACCTAATAATAATAATAATTACAAAAACGCTCAAAATTCATATCCAAATAGTCCATATCGAAATATCCTAACGGCAGCCATTATCTTAGCCGGTAACAATAAGTAAAATACATAGTAAGTAAAAATAACAAAAAATAATAAAATTTTAACACATTCCCATAAGTCCGTTTTCAAGATTCAGCGTAACTGTAGAGTACGTGGGCGGGTTTCAATATTTCCCCCTCATTCTTGAGATAAATATGAGTCCATTTGTAGATCGAGGTACATAATTTGTATCATTCAAATGTATAAGTTGAATTAATTCCGACTTATGCTGAGTTGACGTTTATTGCGTTGAATCGCAAAATATTGGCTAAGTAAGCACGGTACTGCATCTGAGGTCATTCGATATCGAGAGCTGGGCGGAACTGTTCCCATACATTCGAATTTGGCCGTATTATAGCGGCTTGGTTTGTGCAATAAGTCCCTGCCATCGGTAAATTTTGCAATTTCCTCTGGGACATATTTTCATTGCCCTGAAGTGCCAAGTTGAAAGTTTGCGAATGCCCCATTACATCCGTAAAAACATTAGGTCTTGCAGACATGCATCATTTTCCAGCTGTGGGTAGTACGATGTTATCGGCTCCAACAAATCAACAAACTTTTCCAATACGTTGCTGGTGGACAACCATCTCACACCACAACACAAAGAGACATCTCTCAGTAAATCTTCCAACTTAAAACCTTTAACAAAATTACGAAACTGTCTGTGGGTTTTTCCAGGTAAGCGAATGAAATGTACAATTTTAAAGAAAGTTTTCATAACGGCTTCGCAGGTGAAGTATTTAGCTGCCAGATGTTCACGATGAAAAATGCAACGTTCCGGGGGAAAACTCTGGATCAGTGTTCCCTCTAACGCAGGGGTGGCCAACCTATGGCGCGTGCGCCAAACGTGGCGCATTGCATGATTAGAGGTGGCGCATTGCATCTTTAACCCTTTTCATGCCAAAATTGTTAATTGCACTTGGCTTCTCCACGCCAAGCCGTTTTTTTTGCGATTAACATGGTGACTTTTGATTGTACCTAAAATCTATTCTCCTTACTCCACGTCGCCCACTTACGGCTTGTTGGAATTAGAAACAACAGGCGATTATCGACGTTAGCTTTTGGACGGACTTTATGATATTCATTCTAGACTTTCATCAAAAATTAGTAAAATTTACTATTTTTTCCCTACTGAAGTAAAAAGTTCGGAACTTCTGGAAAAATAGAAAATCGTCATTTATCAGCTTGAAACATGGATTTTCCATTGTCCAGACTTCCCAAATATCTCCCAATAACCATTGAACAACCAGTTGAATTGCCCAATTGGAAGAGAGGATTTGTCCCAATTTCCTCACATAAAAGAACACCGTGAATGTGCTGCTGGTAATGGCTATTTGGCAATATACACAGAAAAAATCAAGTTATTGCAAGAGTCATTTGAAAGTCGTTTTTATGATATTTCAAAAGAAGAAGACTCTATACTTGCTTTTATAAACCCATTTTCACTTAGTGAACTAATCATAATGAAGATGCCAAGCAATATACAATTGGAATTAATTGACTTGAAAACTCATCCATCATTGAAAATTAAATTTGATGAGCTTTCCTCAGTCCCAAGTGCATCTGACATGATCAAGTTCTGGCAATCGTTACCCCGTGAAAATTTTCCAGAACTGAGAAAATTTGCCCAGGGTTTTATATATCTGCCATGAAACTAATTAAAAGCAAAGCGAGGTCAAGACTTAATGATTTAAATTTGAAGAATGCACTGCTCTCAGTAACGAAAACTGGCGAAAGTAAAACAGCAGCAAAAGTCTCATGAAGACGGTACTTAAATAAAATTGATCAGTTTTATTTATTATACTTCCTTGCTTAATTTCTATTCATGTGAAGTTGTAAATTGTAAAAACTACATATACGTGTGTATATATGTGTGTGTATTATAAATTTATATAATTTCAACAAGAAGCGGACATTAGGCGTGGGAATACAAGAGATTTACGGCGCATCTGAAACATTATGTTTAAAACGTGGCGCATGGTATGTGAAAGGTTGGCCACCCCTGCTCTAACGTGTGCGAGAGCACACAGCTTTCAGAGGCTGCGCACACGCATAGATTTACTGCGCACAGACGTATTTCGATGTAATGTAACAATGTTCTCGGTTGGCAGGTTGAGAAAGTTTGTTGTTGGCCCACTTATCACCCGGTTAGCCAAAATTTCTTCATTGATTTTTGCACAAATATTAGGCATTTCCAAAAAAGTGCGCACACACCAAAATTTCTGCGCACACATACTACAAATAATTAGAGGGAACATTGCCTGAATCCTTCTTCATAAGTCCAATTGATCCAGCATTCTTGCCCACCATCGCTGGCAAGACTAATAAGCTTTAAAAGGGTAACCTGAGCTTTTGCCAAGGCTTCTTCGAGTGCGTAAGGTGTCGAGTGCGTTTTTTATATTAGTGCCACGAGTCGACTCTTTCAATATAAGCAGATCAACAAGCTTTTTTTTTCATTCATATCCCGAGAAATATAGCGAACAAATACTGATAGCTGTAGATTATCTTTTATATCAGTTGATTCGTCAAGGACTAAACTGAATGCAAGAGATAGGCAATTTACAAAGAAAACCAAATCATTCTGCATTGTAAATGTTTCATTGGTACTAAATTGGGAGAAGCGCCTTAGTGTAGTACGACGCAAAACCGACGTTTGAGCACAATTAGAGTATAAGTGTTTAGTACGAGCAATATTTCATGATACAAGAGAGCAATGCCCAAATATATGGACACGCAGAACAATTCCCCAAACATCATATGCGGTGACTTAATAGTACCTGTATAAACATAGCACCACATCACAGCAATCAAACAGACGAAATCCCGGTGGTCGAAAATTGGTTGACAACGATATTATCGACGTATTGGACATGCGCACCCCCTATTACCCCTCGTTCAAATGTAAAAACGCGAAACCTTCAAAGATGGTTAGAAGAAACACAACTCTACCCACCTGCCAAGTTTCATCTTTTTATCTCTTATATCTGTATGGATTTTCAAGCTTTTGACAGCTACGAGTTAGTTTAGTGTCACCGCGCTCTGTGTTACGGTACCAGTATAGCAATCAACCCCCAAATGTACCCCATTTCATGTTTAAATCATCAAAACAAAGTTAATTTTTCCCAAAATTCGAACAAAGACTTTCGTAGGAATCAAATTACACCAGTTTTAAGAATATAACATGTTCCACCCAATCATTATCAAATTAAAATTTATATACTCAAGACCTTTGTCACTGATTGAAATAATTATATCTAAGTTCCCATCCGTACGATGTACATAATTACCCTTATTGAGATAATATGAGTTTCTGTTTATAACGTGAATCACGAGCTCACGTTTACAGTATTCAATAAGATTTATGATCGACGTATAAAGACTACTCGATATCTTTCAATAAAAAGCTAGTCTGGATAAATGTTATAAGATTTATATTCTGTGTATCGTGGAAATCTGAGAATAAAATCAAACAGAGTTCTCTAAAGTTTCCTTCATTCACGTGGGCGTTGAAGCTGAAGGGTGAACGGGTGACTTGCAAGTCAGAGACAATCTACAAATTAGCAATATACGGTAACATCACATTCATTTACCAAATATATATGCTATACCAGAACTTCTCTATCTTAAAATCATTAGGCTTTTAATTGCATTTCTGACAGCTTATATATTTTAAGAACACGGTTATTTCGAACAAAACTCGTCAAATTATAAACAAAGCCCCACATCACAGCAATCAAACACACAAAAACACAGTGGTCGCAAATTGGTTGACAACGATATTATCGACGTATTGGAAATGCGCACCCCCTATTCCCCCTCCTTTGAATGTAGAAACACGAAACCTTCAAAGGTGGTTAAAAGAAACACAACTCTACCCACCTGCCAAGTTTCATCTTTTTATCTCCTATATTTGTATGGATTTTCAAGCTTTTGACAGCTACGAGTTAGCTCAGTGTCACCGCCTTGTGTTACGGTACCAGAACTTCTCTACTTGGGCTTCTAATTGCATTTCTGACCGTCATATGTTTTAAGAACACGGTTATTTCGAACAAAACACCACATCACAGCAATCAAACAGACAAAAACACGATGGTCGCAAATTGGTTGACAAAGATATTATCGACGTATTGGAAATGCGCACCCCCTATTCCCCTTCCTACCTGTAATGCCAGACGCTTCTTCTTTGCAAAACTAACTTATTCGATTTATCACGGTATTATAGCAGCAGATACCACAGTCTACAAATATATTCACACCAAGCGAAGCATTTCGACCACCGTCTACAAATATATTCACACCAAGCGAAACAGTACAGTACCGGTCGCGGTACGGTTTACCGTACCTTTAGACCATAGCCATTATATAATGGCTCTGTTTAGACCACAGTCTAAAATATATTCACACCGAGCGAAGCAGTGAAGTACGGTTTACCGTACCTCTAGACCACAGTCTACAAATATATTCACACCAAGCGAAGCAGTACAGTACGGTCTACCGTCCCTTTAGCATCACCGCCATTCACCGGTAACCTCGAAAAACTTGCTATTTGCAGCGACTTTCAGAATCCGCCGCCACGCCAACGTTCGATGGCACGTGATCAAAAAGAGGAGAGCCTGCGTATGCGTCCGCAGCACGTTCAGTGACGTCATAGCAAACAAAACTCACAGAGCTAACAGAAATATTTGAAATAAATAAAAGTAATAGCCTTCTGGAGGGAAAATTTCATCTTTAACCACTAAAAATTTCAAAGCAATTGGTCCAGTGATCAAAGAGAAAAGCGGTTTTTTAATATTTCCACTAGTTGTCCAAAAAGTATCAAGGAACAACAAGAACACCAAAACGATCGTTATGTCCACTAAACGTGTCCAATAACAAAACTAGCTTCAGTTGTTGCATCGGAATCCTTGCCAAATGATATCACAAATTTCTGCTGTCTTTTTAGTAATAATTTGAACTCGTTTAAATCGTGTTTCCATACGGTTGATATACGAGGTCTAGTAAGAAGTTTTCTTGATTTGTTGCATGGTGCCGTTTAACATTGCTGACTTTATTCGGACTTAGCAGCTTATGACAGAGCAAGCCCAAAGGTTTATTTTCTTGACTAGTGAATGAGTGTTCTTCCTCCCATTTTGACTTGACAACTCTGTTCTCGTCATCGTATTTTCAGTTCTTACTTGGGTACATATCGTACAGTAACTGAGACCAACTAACCATAATACCGCCAACACATCAATAAACATTGACCATTATGTCGTAAGATTTGTCGCTTGGCTGATTTGAATTCAAAATTCCACGCTACAATGATTTTCATAGTAAAGCATACTTTGTCCTATTCATTGATGAAAGCTTCTTTGCAGGTTTTAATAAATTTAAAAAAAAACGTTTCACTACAGTTTCTCTTAGTTGAAATTTGGATAATAATTCCTGTTAGCGAGAAGAGACGCATAAAAATTTGCATGCGACTCGCCAGCAGCAGTTTGGCGACCGTTGGCTCGAATCTTACTGAACGCAGATCAATAGTTAGGAATTTGTTAACCTAAATAGCGTTAGTTTGATTCATACACACACACATATATATATGGGTGTCTACCCTATGACAAGACTCCGTTCCGAATCCTAATTCGTTTCCTATCTATCTTATTTGTAAAAGGCAATTTCATTGAGTTGTTTTACGAATTTGACGTTTCTTATCTATATTATTTATATGGGGGAAATTATTTTTATTAATAATAACTTTTATTATTGTTACAGACAAAGTTTCTTCGTTTTATTTCGTATACATTTGACCCGGGGTTATCTGGAGAGAAATCGGTCATTGCACCTCGTCGAATGACCGCTAATAAACTACTCCCTTCAAGGCGATTGCATCCCATTTTCGTGGGCAGGAATAGACATTGCGGCGTAAACAAAATCTTTTGTCGGTCTTCTCTTATTCTCTCGTTTTTGTTTCTTTATTATTTCGAATCATTGCCAGTCGGCTGTTTGCAATTCATTTGTGTTAGGAGTTTGCCGTTTACGTAGTATTAATTCATTTGCCATGTTAAGGTGGTTATTTGCTTGTTTTTTGAATACATGATTGGTTTTGATTCGTATTGTATAATTAATTTAACGTTGCTATTGTTTTCGTATTTTAGAATTAAGTATGTAGTTAACCTGCTTGTTGGGTTGGTCGTAAACTTTAGCAACCCTCAACAATTGAGCATTCGTATTCTACAATGATCATTTGACCTCAACATTACTTGATTTGGACCTCGACATTCTACAATACTGTGATCATTGTGTCTCTACAATACTGGAATTATTTCTGTATTTGTTCTCATCATCACACAATTTCGTCTTTCATTTATTCGTCTATCTATATCGTACTTGTGCATGTAGACTGGTATTTTATCGACTGCATTATATTTCGTTCATATTCAAAGTTGGAGTTGTTAATTATCGAGAAATCTGGCAGGTTATACATAAAAGGAAGTTAAAAGCGAAGTGTCACCGCCCAACACGTTATAGGTTTCTTGTAGAGCCTCACCATAAGCACTAAGTTGCTTATAATCTACAATTATCATGAACATACACTGAATGACAGAATTTTTAAACACCCGATTATTGAAAGACAAAGAATCTCAAATTGTATAATCGAGGCACCTATTGTTATGTGAAAAAATATTTCTTATTGCTTATTTTGTAATTTGTAGTGTAGGCTCGCAAAATACTTTTTGACTGCTGCAATATGACAAAGCCAACATTCTACTAAATACGAGTAATACTTCAGAAAAATTCGGCATATTGTGTAATTAAAATTTTTAACCAACGAGTAAGAAAATGTATTCATGAAAATATTCTATTGGCTTCCTGTGTATAATTTATTTAAAGAATAGCAGTAACATCGGCGAATAATTAAACTAAAATACATATACGCCAGAAATTTCCTCGTAGTCAATTAGTCATACGGTCATCTTGATTAAAAACTCGCTTTTTCAAAATATTCGAAAACAGTGGATTAGATTTATTGTGTTCATTAGTCTACTTACAAAATTCGTAAACACAAGCTGTAGAGAATCCATAATTCTCCTCAATACAGCTATCAGGTAATTTGTATTCACAAACTGCGTCCAAATATTTCAACATAGAATGTTCCAGTAAAAACGGACGGCCCGGATCACCAATTAGAATTTTAGTTTCAGGATGGAGTTTGTTAATAGCTCCTAATAAATTAAACAATCTGGTTACAATTGATTCTTCATAAAACAAATCTCCAATTAATATTACATCAAATACAAAATTATAGGAGTTTATAGACATGGAATTGCACAAAATACGAAAATTATGGATACTTTGTTTATCATAACAGTTTTCGTGATCCAATAATATATCGTTTCCATAATATACCAGTTTCGCAAGAAGTTGCACAAGGGCATCTGAATTGAAACACACAAATGATTAATGTTTCGTGTTGTTATAACACATTGGTCGCAGCAATGATGATGTTTGTAATTTTTAATATTCATGTTTGAACCACGGAAGACATCACAGATGACTTTTACACCAGTTTTGCTTAAACAGAGAAAGCGGAAAACATGCGCGGATAATATGAAGCCATGGAATTAAACTATTCGCACGAATGTGTAATGCACGGAACCACTAATCATCACACAAAGGAATTGCATTACAATATACATTGTTAAAACTACTAATGTAACTAATAGGCAATAAATAAACGACACAGCATCTAACCTTCTGAAAAATTCAGTTCCATATTCAGTTTAACAGAGGTTAAAGCGATCGGATCAATATCATTCGCTACCACATGATTGGCTCCACATTTTAACGCCGATATCACAGACGCACCGCATCCACTTCCTATATCCAAAATATTCTAAAAACATGGTAGACTTTATCAAACTGACTATATTACGAAAAGTATTTAGCCATATATTTCCTTGAATCATAAGCTCACATAATATATATATATACATTATTTTCAGTTTTTATTTCCACTGTAATCGGCACCACTTCTACGATCGGATTATTTCGTACGACCTCGTTATAATTATAAATGTTAAGTCTGAAAATCTGCATATATTTATCGACAAATCCGATCTATTCATTAACAATTATTCTATCAGTCACCGAACAGTTTTACCTGCATTGTGTCGGCCATTACTCTTTATCAGGTCAGTCTGGGAAAACAAATGACCTTGGTACAGGAAAGGATTTTCATATTTATCTTGGGTCGCAAAAAGAGATTAAGACGGTTCCATGATATGACCAGTTACAGAATCTCGTCTGGTTACCAGTTCATGTCGGGTATAGGAATAAATAACCCTTTATTTGTTCAAGGTGCATGGTCATACTTGCAGGTTTAGGTGAAGAATGTAAAACCCGAACCCGAAATTATTACCTTTTCCTTAGTGATACTTGGATTATCCAATAAGAATCTCGACAAAGCTTGTCCTCCAGGCCATAAAAATGCCCAATAAGGGTCAGGCACGGGACAATGTTCAGGAGAAGAAGTCCAAAGATCACATTCCGTGGTAATTAAATGTAACTGAATTTCGGGAAGCAAAGGTGTAGCTGTTAAAAAAAATCGGAATGAATAATCAAACTGAATTTGGATTGGGAACTCAAATTGTTACGAAGTACAACTGACCCGATGGCTTTGTTATTTTCCGGATGATGTCTGATGTCTCACTTGAACTTCGTACGTTGCGCACGGCTAATCTGACAAATGTACGCTGAACGCAACGAATACTCGATATCATATATTCAGTGGGTCAAGTCGTACCGTACCTAAATTCAACATGACAGTACAGATAAAAAAATGGAATGGGTGAAGCTGCGCGTTCAGACAAACCTACTCCTGACCGTATATTTGAGGCGAATTATTATCTGAATCTGACTCCTGTTGACGAACAATATACCAACTTACTAAGACGTCAAGGCACAATCCGAAGCCTGTAAGGCAGCGGCAGAAAAATTTGCTCCTATAATTCAAGACCACAGCATGTGCTTTTTGCAAATTCAATGCGTTCCATACGCAAAAATAGGTTTCAATCGCATCGACTTTTATCAGAATTATGACTTTGTTAGCACTTAATATTATTGATAATAGATTGAAATTTGAATTGGGAAATGGTTTTATTTGTAATTAAGGCATATTCTTTGAAGTAGTATTTATTTGAGTCAGTAAACCTATTCAAGAAATGTTGATCCGGAAAATATAATACATGTTTATTTCAGCATGTAAACAATTTCAAAATAGTGCGGCATTTCAGCAAAAAGGTGTGATGTGGGAGTGTTCATTAAAAGTCGGCGGTGTTTATGTTTATTGGCAAGTTTGAGAAAAAATATCCTGTTGTAAGTAAGAATCTACTATTGTGTTGTACAATATACAGATCTAATTATTCCATGTTTTTTTTACATGTATATATATTGACTGTAAAATTACAATAACGTCAATTAACCATGAATACGGTACTGGGAAATGTGATATATATGTTGGAATATGACAACCAATGGATTGAATCTTCAAATGGAATACAAATTGAATGTAGAAATTCCACATGGAATTGGGGAAAAATAATTTATGTATCAAATTAATATTCTCATTAAGATGAAAATGCATGGCTAATTAACTTTAGGCGAGCTTTAGATGATATGAATTACCGTATATAAATTAAAACAATACTTACGATTAGGAGGCAGTCTAATGCATTAATAATTTCGTTAGTCGGAGACTTATTACTGTATTAAGACCATTTTACAAATGCATTTTGACAATGCCTACAATAATGCTATTTTCCTGTTTGCTCAATTCATTACTTGTTAATCTTATTCTTACAGATGTTTAATAAGACTACTGACTAGAAGACTGGATTTGTAAGTCCCAAACTAAGCTTTGTCTATTTTAAGTAATGGAATCCAGACGTCATAAAGATCTGCTAACTTCATTATTGGATTCCAAAAATTTCTTCTTTGGAGTCAAAAATTTATCATCAGAAGAATCACAATGTCTCCTAGATCCTGACTTCATTAATTTTTTTCTTAATTTCTTGAGGGAATCATCGTTTATTGTGTTAAATAATGATTGCTCCATTGCGAATGTCAGTGAGATAGACACAAAAAATGGACCGCAATTTACAGAAGTAGATTCACGATGTATGCCATTGCAGGAAATGCAAAAAATGAGTACCCCAAAAGTACGAGATGATATTGCAACACCTAAGTCATTTAGAGACCTTCACACTTCTTCCCTGAATAATGAACAAACACCAAAATATGGTAGACAGACTTCTATGCAACAAGATCACAGTAAATACTCTGGCCAACGATATAAAACAAAACCACTAAGTCTGAGTGATTTTCTTAGTCCTGAAGCTGTTCACATTCAGTCACAAAGTTCATCAAAAAAGAAGGCTCATAAATCTCGATTACAGAAAGGAAGAAGAATAACCCCAGTTTCGGAAGAAAAATGTGATTGTATCTCATCTTCTGCTAATAGCAGACAATTTTCAAGAAATGAAATATCTTTTTCTCCTCATTATGAAATGTCCAAGACGTCGGTATTTTCACCTCATGATACTAAAAGTCCTATCAATCCTTTGTATTCCGGAGCAAGTCGAAGTATATCATTCAACATTGAGGAAGAATTCCCTAAACTATCAGATACACCTAAACAGTCTATAAACTGTAAACCTTCAAGGAGAATAAAACCAACAACTGTTACTGCTGGTATTAAGTCAGAACTACATGTATTATCTTCAGCAAGTGGGGTGAATATAAAAAACTCCGATAATCCTTTCACAACTGCTGTTCCTATAACACCTGCAAGTGGTATCGATCTGAATATTGAGCGACATCTTCTGTTAAAAATGAAGAATCGTGAAAATGGTTCAAACACAGAGGTAAAGCATAATTTATCAATGTTTGATATTAAACTAGATGAATTCAAAGCTGTTTTTTCATATAAGCCTAAATAAATCTGTATTATATTTGCTTCATCTTTGATATATCTTGTTTTGTTACAGAAGAAAAATATGAGAATTCCGATAAAATCGATGGAAGATATCAGCCCTGTGAAGAAAACAACATCATTTCCGGATCCTACACATGTTTTTGAGTCTGACCGCATAACAATGTTGGTTTTCATTACAGAATAATAATACTGATAACAAATGGCAATAAGTTTTATGGCCTGTTTTTTTTTTTTGCACAATCTTCCGCTGCTAAATGCCATGTTGCTATATATTTTAAAAGGGACCGAATTCCTCTGATTACACATATTGCTTTAAACGATATGACAATTGCCTCGGCAATAGCTTACCTAACATTGTCATAAATTTAGATTTCTTAGCATTGTCAAATCCCTTGTGTAATTCCAAAAAAGGAACTGGAAATTCGATCCACGAAGGATAACTAGAAGAGTATTCAATAAATACAAGTTGTAAATATTTTTTAAGTTCTGTCCCAAATGGATAGCTGTAACAACTTTTTTGAGTTCTTCCTCATCAATGAAACCTCTGGTGATCATTATCACATGAATTTGTCATATACATTACGGTAATAAAGTAAAATTTTTAGTCATCAATGCTTTTTAATTATTTTTAGGCTTGCAGCATTGCACTCATATTTCATCAATATGCTGCTCGTCCCAAATATAATCACCGAACTACATTTTATAATTGATCTTTTGACTGCGTCATGCTGTGTTGAGAAACCAAACAGTTCTGCTCCATCATTATGCATTACAGGGAGTTTGTGTAATTCGTCAGATAGCAATATTGGTAAGAAAACCAGAATAATTTTTATGTAGTTGATGAAACTCGATAACATATTAATGAGGATATTACTAATTTATTTTAATGAAGTTTATTTTGAAAATTTGGAATATACCTGTCTCGGTGTTAAATAGTAAATTGGTAATTTGCATTTACCGGTATTTGACAAGAGTATTTATTTTGGTTCTGTATGCTTAATTTTTCGTATTGTCTATAGACAATCCAGGAGTCCAGCTATCTTTTCGTACCTCATCATTGTCTACAATATTTGAACCTCCAAACTTATAATAATATTGCTGCGGAGTAGTTTTGTACGATGTCAATGGCCATAAATTTTTAATATTGTAGTGATGTAGTTTATTAATCTTTTGCTGTTCAATTAATTCTAGGAGAACACACTGATTCTGTATTGAACACCAATGTTCTGTCAACTGCCGCAAACTGTGTTTTCTTCGCCATCCAAACTGTGCAATATCTTGTTTCTTCTGGTTTTATATCAATCTTGTCTCGTTCAACTCTATCGTTGCTTGTGCAAAATTATAGGATTCAGGTTACTAGAGAATATTTTTTATACAAAAAAGTGCCGGTATTTATTAAATAATTGTAGGGTAATTGTAACAGTGCTAAAATAGTTCAATGTTTTAGTTTACTGTTGTGATAAAAAAATAGCTACAGTCATCTATATAAGTACCATATATTCATTCGTTTTTTCAGCGCTTCTTACCTTCATTGTCAAGTCAACTCTCAAACTTATGTGAAGAAATTGAGGAGAAAGAAAAAGATTTTTCTGGTGATGTAAGATGTTGTTTTTGTGTTCTTCATTATTTATCAGGGTTTTATGGACATATGAAAATGAAGAATAAAAATGAGGCCAACATTGTTGTGTCTAACGTTTTACCCACTAGGCCATCGTTTTCCTACAAGCCTCTATAAATCTGATATTTCTTTAAGGCTTTGGAATCTCAAGAAAAATTGCACTCACTGTCAGGTGTTCCATTTGAAGCTGACACTGATGATAGAAGTAATTTTCCTTCTGATAAATCATTTCATGCATTTCGAAAACATCGGGATTTGTTCTATTCTATTCTTAGAGAGTATGAAGACAGAAGAAATGACCCCAGTAAGTTGTTGAACCTTTTTTCAATATCTCTGCTTCGCAACGTTCTGATCAGCATTACCGGTAATTGAAATACTATTTTGTTTGGACAGATTTCAATATTCAAAATCATCTTGCTGGGAAAATAAAGAATCTTGTGCTTCAAGTAAAATCAACAGCAACTTACAAGCCATTTGTCAGGTATTGTGTCTTCAAACTTCTGTTCTAGATGATGCAATCACTTTTGCAAAAATATACAAGATACTTTCAATTAATGAAACATCTGTATGACAGTTGTTTATCAACTGGAATTACAAATATATTATGTTTTTAATCAAATTTGCTATAAAGTCCATAAATTGATATTTTATGGTAGATTTATAATAAATCCTTTTCAGATAAATGAATGTTACGAATATACTGATGTTGTTGTGACAAAATATGCATATTGATATGAAATGGAAAACTTTGCTACTCGAATATTTCATGCATATTCGTATTCATCTGCTGCTTGATGAGGCTCTTAAACTGGTATTAAAACATATTTCAGACTGTTTGTAAGTCAAATGCTGCAAGGTGCAAACCTTTCTGAAATCTCGACACAGATGTCAAATAGAAGTTTCGCAAGAAGTAGTTTCAATGATAGCCACACAAGCAAAGGTGATCTTCTAACATCTCTTCGCCATGGTGATCCTGAAAAGTTTCGCAGACTTCAATCAAGATTTGTAACGGCTTCAAACCCATCAGTTCAAGGAAATAAAGCCAAGGATCCTTTAACAGAACAATGCCGTTTTTATGAAGGTTACATTTATTATGTGAATACTGCAGAACAATGACTTGTCACATTTCAAGTATTTACTTATTCAAATCTAGTTTCAAGTTGTCAAATTGATCAAATATTTAGTTAATTGGTCAGGCAGTTTTTAGTTTGGGTGTACGAGTATATTTTTTGATATAAAAAGCTTAATTATGCTGCTGTAATTTTAGGTAAAAAATTGGCAGTTTTGTTTACTACAGTAAATTAATGTTCCGTAAATCGAAATGAACTAGTAGTAATTTATTTTTGCATAAGGAATTTTTCTAATTTTTCTTCTAGAATTCATATTAACTGCTGACAGTTATGCGCTTAACACCCATCTTTGCAATGAATTGAGAGAAAGAATCAATGATATCGAGATTCAACAAACTCAACAAATACTGGACGATGCTTCTGCTGAAACGGTCAATTTTGCGAGGTCCATTGCCCTTGATATCATGCTTTATATATTGATTGGTTTTTACAGTTGATGTAACACTTTTCTTATAGTTGCTGATTATATAGAAATGAGAATTCAAACAGCAACAGTGGGTAGATGGAGGAAGTTGAAAATGTTTTGAAGATGACTATGGACAGTAAAACAGGATTCATAAGAATAAAATAAACAGATAATTTTAGCTTGGTCATATAAAAAATTAGTCTTGCGGTGTACTGAGAATTAACTTGAATAATAAATCCCTAGCATAATTTACAATGTAAATTCAAGAATTATTTGTGCAGAATTATTTGAATAAATTATGGTTCATTTTTAGTGTTTCTTCGTCTCTATGCACCATGATATCATCGATACGTGCTTTGGGTCGATTTCTTGGCATTGTGACTTTTCAACCTTATGACACAGGTAATAATAAAGCTTTCTTCAGGCTTATAAATTTTTTATACATTCAAACACTTTGCTAATAAATTTTGTTAATCGTAGAGTATTATTTTAATATGTATGTTTACACTAGTTGATCATCAAATAAATCCACATAAAAATTTTCAGGTGATGGTATCACACCTTATGACAGTCATACTTTTGGTAATATCGTTTCTGCACTTGAAAATTCATCAACTCAAAACTATAACTTGGTCACTGTTGCTTGGGTGACTGAATACTTGAAATCAGCAACTTTTTCAACAAAATCACTAATACCGGAAGCTGAAGATACAATCAAAAGATTATTCATGATTTACAGGTAAATTCGTTTTTAATCTGTGAGAATGTTTCTGCTTCGAGTCGAGTAATTAAGCGCTGGTAATGTTGGAAGTTCTGTCAAATTGTTGCAAGCAGAATTTTTTTCCTAATTGTATCGACTTGAACTATTTAAGTCTCACTTGAAGTGAGTCACTTCAATCAGAATTTCTAGCAGTTGTCCGCCACCATAATTTTATCTAAATACGGCAGCTCTTACATTTCTTTGGGTGCAAATAACTTTACCCAAGAGGTGAGTCTTCTTTACCTCTTGAGTGATTGGTATGACCTTGCTTTGAGAAAATATTTTACAAAAATTTTTGTTATTTTGTGGTAATATATATTTGAATAATCTCCTAATGTAAGATTTGGCGGTTATAGTAAAGTTATTGTATTGAAATTCGTGCTAATATTAATGAGTATAGATTAACTTGTAATAAAAAAAATGATGAAAATGGAATGTTGATGCATTACTAGCATTAGTAATAATTATTTCATTTTCAATATATGTTACATATATTACACTATGATCATATTTATATTGTGATTATTTTTTTATTTCTAGAGAGCATGCATACTGTGACAGGAAAGATTTAACAACTGGAGATGTTTTAATATGTTTGGCAATTTCATCCTTATTTGAAATGTCAATATTTCAAGATAATTTTTTCTATACTATGTTGAAAAAATATCCTGCTGATAAATATTGTCAAAAATCAATGAAATTATCAAGTATTGCTACACAATCCATGGAGCAAAAGGTAAATGACTGTCTTTGTATTCAAAGAAAGTTTGTTAATATCTCAGTAATATATGCATTTGCAAGCTTAGTTAATATTCAAATATGTCCCTTTCCAGTCACAATCGTATATATATATATATATCTGCCCTAAGTAATGAAGTAATTCCTTATCTATATATAACTATTTACCATAGATAATTTTAAAGCTTCGTGTTTTGTCCTTGTGTCCCCATTCTTAATGAGATGGCTCAATGGATTGTGCAACGTGCTACGCGTCAGGGATATGCTTGCCATAGTACTTGTGATTTCCAGACATCAGTTCGAATCCTGGGTCAGGGTCAGCCCTGGGGTGGTTCAACTATTATTTCTAATCGGCTTACCTCTTTGTCCGATAGGCAATGATATTACAGTTTTCTATTTTAGGGAGAACTGGGATCGCTGTCATTCGATGATTGTTGTTCTGATCTCATAAGTTTTTCATTAATTTATGACTGGTATCCATCATTGAAAGAAATTAGATCAACCATTATATCTTGTAATTCTGGAGCTGAAAAAACAAATCAATCCCAACAACCACCAAGAAAGATTAAACCTAATACAGAAAAGAAATCTGAAGAAACTTTAGCACAAAAGAAAGAGAAAGTGAGATAGATATCTTGTGATTTATGTTTTTTCATTTTGCCTAGTCTGTTAGAATTAGAAGTATTGTGCAAATTTATGTATGAATTTTTTCGTCATGTCATGTCCTAACTCATATTAAGGATATTAATATAAAAGGAAAAAGTGTTCCCAAAACAAGATTACTGTAAAAGTTGTTTTGTGGCTATTAGACTTGCAAAATTGTCGTTTAGCTTATTGTCTGCCCAGCTAATAAAATTCCTTTTTTATACGATGCTAATTCACGCCTATCACTCCAAACAAGGCTGGTATGTAATGAGATACTATTATTATTCTCATCCATTCTACATACAGCAACTTCAGTTGACTTTAGAAGAACATTTTTTCCGAGGTCAGCCATCATCACTAAAACGTACTGTTGCATTCGTAGCAGAACGATGTGCATCAAACTGTGTGAAACACATTCGAAGCATTGCTATGCTTAAGATTTGTGATGAAGCAGAACAACTCTTTAAACAAAGGTAACTATAAAAATGTGGTTGAATGTTTCAGCTACTCCCAAATTACTTTTACTGTAAATCTGGGCAAAATTGAGCAAGCATTCTTTAATATGTTTCAACAAAAAATATGAGTGTCTCGATTCAAATTGGAAATCAATATAAACTATATTTATTTTCGAACCTTCTGTGCCGATTACAAATGTCTTCAGATCAGATCTAATCCAAATTAATGGTGCTGTAAATGTTCGTCATAGTAATCCATCTAGAAAAATAAATCTTCATACTGTGAATTATCTGTAATATAATTTGAATGAATTGTTCTTTAATAATTAATGAACATTGTTTCTAATTTTACACTCTTATTTTTTTTCTTTCAGGATTGCTGAAGGAAATTATGAATTTGATAATTATTCTAAAGTTGGGATGACCAGGTATGACAAATATATTTTAGTTTAGCTCTAGTGCCACATACTCAAACAATTCTCAAATCCGCTGTTTCTAAGAGGTCGTGGTGCTTTGTGTACTCATTGGTGAAGATGAATCATGGAAGTTATGAAATCTTTAATAATAACCAACTTGACTATATATATTCGCTATGGAATAATTGTGACTACCGTAATTATGATAAGCTTCCATGTTTTTCCAGCAGTATGATTCTCATATGCGTTTATGCATTGCTTGAGATTCTTTATGTTAAGTCTTTGATCACCCGTTCACAGGCAGGTTGTCAATGAGATGAAGTCTTCAGCTAATGTTCGAATGCATAAAGAAGCAAATGAATATTGTGATCAAGCTGTACCACAGTGCATGAAGGATTTGGCATCTTGCGAATCTGCAGATGGGGTAGAATATTTTTCTATGTGAAAATAGTTTGCTATGTTTTTTTTGTAGTTAGGTTTTTGGTCACCATGCAATTGACGGCAAACATGTACTGATGAGGCCAATAAACCAACCCGAAGTTTCCTGCCTAGCAGTGCCGATGCGCTGGATTGCAGATTGTTAAATGCTTTTTTTTGAGTATCCAATAGCGATATTATAAATTACCTAAAATTGATTAAGGGTTTATTTCCAATTGGATTTTAATTCATCTAAAATTTATTGCTCATGCCCAACGCAATAGTATACAATTGAAAATTAGATGTTTTATCCTTATCTTTTGTGAACTATTACTTCCTTAATTTTTAGGTTCTTAATGTAGCTACTGCCATTGCTAGGAAACGAGCAATTTCTAGCGTTTACTCTTGGCTAGGTACGAGGTTGGATGAATTAGTAAGCGTTTCAGTCAAAGCAAGATTGACGAAAGTCTCATCTGTAAGTAATAGTGTGCGCAATGACTTGCTACAAATTTCTTGATATATTTTTAGTATAGGTATTAATATCTAAAGGTAATTATTGAAACTTGATATGACTGGCCATTTTATAATTAAATTATGAAAATGAAATTATATTGTGCTCTTTCATTGCAATAAACTTCACCTTGTTCCAACATCTTTGTGATACAAGTAACAAACGGATCCAGCAATATGAGACAATTGTAATAAAGCATGGCCAATTCGTCACACTCCTAACAAAACATCTTCAAACTTAATTGGAACATTCTTTTAAGATGCAATCATTACAAATGCATGTTCCCAAAAATTATTTGAACCTTATCTGCCAAGTGAATTCGTAAAACTAGTAAAACAAAATTCTTCCTATCTTCGATTTACTGTGTTTCAGAATGTGAAGAAAGAAGAACCTGCGTTGCCTCCTAAGCTACAAGTTTCAATGATGGAAGAAACAGACAGCATTTTACCTAAGATTGAATCGCTTTCTTCATTGCTGCACGTTATGAAAGAATACACTGTAAAATTAATGTTTCGCAATAGTTCAATGTGTCTGGTATCTATCGATCCTTCAATTCCTGCTCAAATATCAGAAAGAGACATTTTATTCGTTCTTTCAGTCGCCTGTGCACTACTTGGAGAAAAACATTTCGATTCTTCTTTCATTAGTTCTAATGTTGGAGCAGAGAAATTCGATAAAATGCAACAACTGATAACATCTTCGCTACATTTAAAAAATTCTCTCCTTTTGTCCACGAGAGAATTAGCAAATCTTTTTGGATTATCTTTTGAGCAAAATGTGGACAATCTTGTTAGTTCCTCTCTTGTTCCTGCCATTTCTGATATTCAACTCAGTTGTTCCTGACCCTAATCACACAAGGCCTCGTAATCACTGCCAGTTTGATTTAATATTGTTTCGATGGCATTCAATAAATATTTTGATATTTTCAGCGATTTTATGTATCTCTGAGGGGCTTGTTCGGCGATGGCCAAAATGCGTCTGTCGGTATTTATAGTTGTTAGTTTATATACTTAATTCTGCAATAGTCACTCTTAGTGGAAACTGTGAGGGTATATAGGTATGTAACTTATGTTGAGATATGATATGAAAATCGGGTTCTCGCAGAACGTGGCTTGACATGAAAGTATGTGTGAAAAAAAAAACGGTTGGGATGCGGAGTCTGGTTCTAAGATTGTGTGCGTTGTAGTAATAATGTAGGCCTGCATCTGTCAACCAATTTCCTAAATATTTTACACCACTTCTTTGTGTATATATCAACCAATACAAACGCAAATTGTTTATTTTTTTACAAATAATATTTAACTTGAAGAAGTAAGTCTTTTCTATAAAGGCACTACTTGGCTTGTTTGGCATGATTCGGACATTTCAATTTCATTCAAAAGAATAAATATCACATGCGAGGAACAGATTCACACTTTAAATTTGAATCTCATAATTTTTTCAGCGATCAAATGCATACGAAGTAATATTAGGATACTCTGGATAAAAACCAGAATGCGACATTTCTGCTGCATGTTCATAGGAAGTTCTCATGTGAGGGAGAGGGTATGGCGTGGTTCTCGGATGAGGGGATGGGAAATATCCACCGTAATGAGCGTGGGAGGTCGGGTGATGGTATTTATACCCCGCTGCCCGACTGTCGTCGAAACCCATTGTCCCAGGGTAATGAGGCGGCTGCTGGTGAAAATGAGGATGTCCCGGGGGGCCGAGCAAGCCCCTTGCGTCATCACCAGTATTGACGCCAAATGTTGCAGTTCCGCTGTAGTATGGTGATATTCCGTGATGAGGTGATCCGAAACCGTTGTTTAATGGGTGTGATGCTGCGAGATGAGTTCCATCAATGCTCATAGAGTTCTGATTATCCCCTGTTGCCCCACTCGCTACTGAATTGTTTGGGCTGATGACGCTACTCGAGGCACCTGCTGTAGTGCCTTGATGACCAGACGGAGAGTGAGAACCTCGAGAATGAGCTTCACTACCTGGTGACGGCGAACGATCTCTTCCAGATTCGGCTTCTGAAAATGAGAGAATTGCGTTGATGTATCAGATTATACCATGCTACGCATTATCAAATGTAGCCAAATCGAATATAATTTATGTCCATATATCCAACATCAGTAAACTAGTAGATATATTAGTCTCTCGTCAACCATTGATCATTATTATCGATTGACTCATTTCAAGTTCATTATGCCGTGATTGACATTGTCAAGATGATTGATGGTTTTAATAAACTTGAATTAGGAAAATTAACGCACTCACCTCTCAACTGTCTCTGCCTTGCTGCCACTCCCATGAGTTGTAGAGAGCTCGGCCTGTGATGACTCCGTTGCCGCACCCCTCCCAAGGGGTAATTCCCCAGCATCTCGAGGGCACTGAAATCGTGTCACATTGATAAATAAGTCACTCAAAGTCATATTTTAGTCATAAATTTAAACAGATTCCAAATTAATGCATATAGAATTGACTAACCATGGTACATGAATATATTGGGGATGCAATACTTTATACATATGTAGACCGCATTTGACAGCGAATATCATATATAAATATAATATTAAACTTATAATATTCTGTCATGTATTACTTCCACCAAGAAACGGTATTTTCATGATATTATGGCATTGACCTACGTTCCTATATATTCCATTATTACCACGAATTCATATTCGTGTTCATCGAAGGTCAACACCAGCTGTTTTGTGTACTAGGTTATCACACTGTAATAATCCTAATAATTCTAGCTGATGTAACTTGATTAGACACATGGTCTAGTTCAAGACCATAGTAAAAGGTTGGTGTCATTTATGAGAACTCAAGTCATGAGCTTCTACCACAATCTACTTGTCACAATTGCGAGCTTACAGACAATCAATCACTCGAGTTCGTGATAAAATAAGTTTGACATCTTCTTGCTCGTATCTGGTTGTTTACTTTATTTACTATGCTAACATCTCGGTTACCAAATTTAATTCAAAGATTGGTGTTATGTTAACTAATTTGTAAGTGAAATGCTACTTACAATTCTTCTGGATCACATTCGCGGAAGCCTTTAGCAAATGGATTGCTAGCAATCTTGAGTTGTGTAATCTAGAATAAAAAGTGCAAATTAGTGTTATAACATCATGTCTTTACATACGCGTTGTACTAGTAGTATTTGGAAAATGGAAAAATATAAATAACACACGCAATTTGCTTTATTGTTTCTGTGAAGAATCGGTAGTTGAATTTACGAAGTCAGACAGCTTTATGGCTAAGGAACTACCACTCAAATTGCATGTTGGACTAGCCTACATTATTTATAAAACATTATCGACAATATTGGAACACAATCACTTCATATCTTGAACTTTTGATAAAATAAAAATATCCGCAGTAAAACAAAGCTTCTTTGTCTATAGCTTGAATCCTCAACTAATATTTGAACCTACGTCCTCAAATTCAACTGCACCAAGGGACAGTAATTACTTTCTATTAGTTATGGATCAAACGCTTCATCACCAATTATGACAAACCACAAGGATTATTGTTTATTAGAACATGTAGGGTTTATGAGTTTGATATTGTAATAAATTTATTGATGATTGAAAAAAAAATCACTGGTCAAGTATGGTTAGTTGATAATTTAAAATTTCAGAATTGACGTATCCATGGACCAACGTTGACTGAAATTAACTTTATACGTAAGCGGTTTTGGTATCAAACTTCCGGGTCCCGGGTTATAGTTCACGTCCAAAACTTCAAAGATCTAAACGTTACATATATCTCCCAATGGTGAAGTTTTATTTCATTGATATATAAAGTCATAAGTTTATATTTTGAAAACACGTCGTGACCTTGGCCGTATCATTAGACTTGGACAAATATACAAAGTCTCAAGGGTGCCTTTGATGACGAAACAAGAGGACAATTGTTTAATCCATACAATCAACAATGCACATATGTCACCATATGTCCATATTTGGAGATCAGAAAAAGCCACAATCTTCAATGCAAGTTTCAAACACTTTCCCATGTAGTATAAATATCCAATATTGAATTAGTAGTTTTACGTTCTCTTCCAATTACAATTTCGACTATATCAATCCCGTGACCTTGTGTAACCAACCAATTTCTTCTATCTTTTTCAGCGTTTCTATCTATTTTTAATATGTTCTAGGCGCTAAAACCGAGTAATAGAGATGTCGCTGGTAAAATTTATCTTCATTTGATTGTAGTATAGTAAGTCGACGTTTTTTAGAATATACAAATATATAATATAAATTAAAATAGCCTAATCGTTGAAAATTATCATAGTGAGTAGTAATATCAATATTTCATAGACAAAAAGTAGGAAACAAACGGGGGAAATTGCAATTCTGTTTACATTATTCTAGTACTCTAATTAATATTAATTGGTAAAAACTAAAAACAATGTGATAATTAAAGGGTAAATTAGACTGCATGCATTATTATAATCCCAAGTATTTATAATAATAAAATAATAGTAACCAAATTTTAATTCATTTTTCATGCGGTTAGATTCATTTAGCAACATATAATCTTGAATTAGTTTAGTAGACAAGCTACCTGTAATGTGCTTCCTTTACATAATTTGGGGATAAACATTTGTTGGATGGATGGATATTCAGAACCACAAAAATCGTTTCATTTTCTATCGGTCGATTTTAGGTTGTGCGACCGATGATGTCGTTCAAATTGATATGTTTTGGTTTATAAACAATTCCCACAGGTCCATGTTATCATTTATATTCATAGTTCAAGTACAATTAGCAGCGTTTATGCTACCATCTGGTTGTATTAAAGTTTTATTTTTGGAAAGTTAGTCATTTCTTATCCTGAATAAGAAAAGGCGGAAGAATGGCGGGAAGCATCTTAATATTTTTCAAAATTAACCATCAAAATTTTCGAACATTTCCCACACATAAATTATATTTGAATACACCGTCCCACGCGTGGTACCGTTCATCCAGAAGGTAAAGTTAATTGATTGACAGTTTTTCAACATGACATCACTTGTCAATTTGGATTTAAATATGACGTGACTTGATTTGATAGCAATGGATATTGGTTATTGTACATCCCGTCCGTTGGGTATTGTTGATTTGTAAGTCCGTTTTGTAATGAAACTACATTTTCTTTGTCCGCTCGGTTTTTATGACGTCATATATTATGAATCAATATATGACATCATTTGATGACGTCAAAAAAAATTGGTTGACTCAAAATTACACTTTGATATGACTGTGCATTTATGTGCATTTTACACGGCTTGTATTATTCATCGCGGCTGTGTAATTGTAACAAAGTTTGAGCATATTTTAGAATATTTTGAAAATGACGACAAAAGTGTCCTATCAACTAAAAAACTCTTATTTAATAATTCATGATAGAGTGATTGATTTTACCATATATATTATGATTTGTTTATGGTAAATATTAAAAATGTTTATTTATGCTTTTGTATATTAATTTTACTTCACATACATAAAATTCGAGCACTGAATTCGAAACGTGAAACGACAGGAATTATAAAAGAAAAATACATACAGTATATACCTTTAAGTGTCTCTTCAAACAATAAAATATAGCTAAGTCGTAATTTCTTGACAATCCATTTTATTGAATTGCTTCTTCAAGGAATGTACAATATTTAATATGTCATGTTTACATAATGTTCGATACTGTGTTTTATTTCCTTTAGACACACGTTTCAAATCAAGGCCGCCGGTTACAAAATTGTTATAAATATGAGCAGGGAAATTATAATACTAAGATGTTAGCTAAGTAGTCTAAGTACCCGTTTTTATAATATTTTCTTTTTACATATCTTTACTATTGTAAACTTTTCCATCAACGGTAAGATGGATAGAAGGTTATCATATAGAAAAGAAAACAACGGGTATGAATAGTCCTGAACACGCCGCGAAAAAGCAACTCAGTTTTTGGAACTTAAGAAGAGTTGTTTTTTGTCATCCGCTTGTATTTAAGTTGCATTACCTTCGATTGTAAATTGAACTTGGATAAATCGATTTTTCAGATACAATTAAACCAAGTACCAAGCATGATCAAGAATTCGGAGAAATCAACTTCAAAAATTGTTCTGCCTAATTTAGTCCGTGTGTTCCTTTCTACTAAAAACAACACAGACGAAAGTAAAACACAAAAATGGAGATTTCAGCCAGGTTATTGCCAGGCTTTATTTAAAAATAAATACCGTTCAACGTTACTTGTAAAAAAAACAATTTTAGCTAATAGTTAAATAAAAATCCTTTTTATGTGCGTTCTTGAATGTGAAAGTATAAATACTAAAATTAGGATTGTCATATTTGCCTACTAAGTCCCGATATCAATTACCGGTACGCCGAAAAATTCAGCGTAACTAAGCATATCAACTATTTAGATATCATAGATAATAATTTACCTGATTGACTTTTGGTTAAAAAAAATATTGAAATAGTGTGAACAATTTACGGGGGGAACATTTAAAAAAAAGGTGTCAAGGTTGAGTGAAGGATTAATACTCGATGACAAATTAGTTGATGGGATCGCTTCGAACCCACCTGTTGTTAGTTTTGGTCTTTAGTACTAACGTTTAGCTTTAACCAATCATGGCCCTTAGAAGATTATTAAATTCAATCCATCATTTATGTTTGGCTCTAATGCAGATTGAGTTTTTGTTGAAGTTTTTGGTAATATTTGATTGAGTGATTTAAAGGATTAGACAATCGACTATTTTGCTTCCAAAAACACACACGACGAAAAGTGATTCATTGTTAGAGATTTAAAAACAAATGATCTCTGTTATCGAGTTTTGTATGAAACAACTATGAGAACTTTCAATCATATTATAATTGATATATCACTTAAACCATTTCATTCCTACTAAAAATAATATAGCACTAAAAACTATTATTGAAAAAGAATTTTCTTTCTGATAAATTTGTTCTATAACCAGTAATTATAATTGACTTATTATTTCGTTAGAACTAGCTTCGTTGTTTTGCTCTGTTCTTTTTTCATTTACGTACTAGCTTTCGATTTATTAAAAATTATTTCAATGGAGGTCTTGTCCCGATAGAAAACCATGATTCTATTTGAGACAAGTCTCATTTTAAACTAGTGCCCAATGGCAGGTTGCGTTCCCTAGATATTTATATGCTAGTTTCAGCAATGCAGTAAAAGAATGAAGCCCGAGATGCTGTACTGCCTGAATATTTCAAATTAAAATTTGAAAAAATAAATCTCGCTACTGGAAAGTATGGAAACATCAAATCAAAATGAAGAACATACGCCTTATTTTAAATTTTATTGTCTATAGCTTAAATAGGATCACTGATAATGCATTACAATGATATTTCGGATGAGACTTATCTGACACCGGTATAGCCAACTTAAACGATTTTTCGAATTCATCTGTTTGCCAAATGCCACGCTAATTCGTCGAATGAGGGGTTTTCACAAATCCATGAGGTCGAGACCCGTCGTTTAATCCAGGCCATGTATTTGCACTCACGTACGCAAACAGACGCATCTGTGTGAGAGCAGAAGGTTGCAAATTTCAGGGCTGTGAATTGTGTGAAACTATTGACTGTGTCGTTTGATCTTTGGTAGTATGCTCCTTGAAAATGGTTCTTGCGGTTAAGGAATTCCATGATGTAAGTAAAGGGGATTATAACACTTTGTGAAACAATTTTTCCTATTTACTTTCTGCCAACTGGATACAGTAATTTAATAGCACACTAAGACCCGTAGGTAGCTATTTTTATAGGCATCAATTATTTGGCATATATGTATAAACTGATATAGTGCATGGAAACATGTTTTTAACAATTTTGTTTGATTGGATCGTTATAAAAAGTAATTTACCAAATTGTAAAAATTAGCATCAAAAGCACTGAACCTCCCGAAGGAAGCTATGGCTACAACTAGGTTATCATGTGCACATTGTGCATATAATTCTATACCATGGAAAGAGTTTGTGATTTCCCAGTACGACTTGAAATGAACGTCAAAATGGAGTCTCATCTGTTGAGGATTAAAACTTTTGGCTATAGCAGTGAAAACTGCGTTGAAAGACTGGTTGTTTA